TTTTATAAAAATCTGGCAAGAATTGTACCCATGAGAGCGATAACGAGGCCATTTTCCATAAATTTAATATTTCCAAGGGGCATTACTCTTTTTAAAAAAGTCGATCGGCCACCATTATAGAACGTATCCGAGATATTGCTGATATTAACCTATAGTATGTTTTATAAAAATCTGGCAAGAATTGTACCCGTGAGAGCGATAACGAGGCCATTTTCCATAAATTTAATATTTCCAAGGGGCATAACTCTTTTAAAAAAAGTCGATTGGCCACCATCATAGAACTTATCCGAGATATTGCTAATATTAACCTATAGTATAAGTTTTATAATTATCTGGCAAGAATTGTACCTGTGAGAGCGCTACCAAGACCGGACGGACGGACGCCCGGTATTTCTGTGTCCTCCGCAAAAGTGTGCGCGGGGGACAACAAATCCGAGACATGTGTCAAAATTGGCTTTTTGTGCGGTCTTACATAAGTAGGAACGTTTTCCAAATGGTGTCACCGAAAGTGCTTTTTAACATAAGGAAATCATTATAACTCCTCTATTGTAAGTCAAATTGAGCCGTAGAAAAACTTTCAGAAGCAGAGCGGACAAATTATTTTTCAATATTTTAAATTTCAAACATTCTCAATCGTTTCACTATTAAAACAAAAAAATGTATTTGATCATTTTATCCTTTGTTAAAAATAGTAATTTTGTTTTCTTAGAGATTAAACTTAATACTTTAACTGCATGTTACAATATTCTTCTAGTTTATTTGAATAACCAATCAATCCTAATTCACTGGTAGAAAAACTGGACAACATCATTTGCATACATTAAACCATACAGATAACTTTTCTTTTACTCTTTAGCAGGTATATACTAATTTTGTAAATATTCTTGGTAATCGTTGACAAATATTGGTAAAAATTGGAATTTATGTTCTAATCGTACACCTATGTCTGCTTTCAATTTATCTGTTCAATTAAAGACTTACTCCAGTTAATATTTTCGACGTATAATAAGTAAACAAAATAAATCTTCAATAATATGAGATCGTCATAGGCATCTAAAACCCATTAGATTGCGTTGAATAATAATGACAGCTGCCAGAAAAGGATTGTGATGATGTTAAAATTGCCTATTGCTGTGTATACATGTATATCAATTGTTCATGTCAATCAATTTAATAATATATGTAAACCGCTTTGGTTGTCTCGTGGTAGCGTGTTCGCCCCGAGTGCGGGAGGTCGTGGGTTCGAATACCGACAGGGTCAAACCAAAAACTTCAAAATTGGTTTTTGCTGCTTCTTCCTTAAGTTCGCGGCATTAAGGAATAAGAGCAAAAACTGGTAGGCTTGGAGTCAGAATAATGTGTCCGGGTAATGTGACATATCTTCCTGTGGATTGTTACCTTGTGAACTACACGGTTAAAAATCTGGCTCAGCGTGTCTGTCTAGTACAAAGCAGGGATAATATTCATATTACATTAACATGTTCCATTCCTAAATATGAATATTAATTTGCCGCTGGACGTTAAGCAGCCATTTATCATCATCATTATTATCAATTCAATGTAATACTACTGTTGCTAAGGGGTCATTTTAAATACTTTACCCAATTCAGTTTAGTTTTACACCTCTGCAGGAACAAAAACAATGCTCACTAAAATCCAGGAAAGTGTTTAACTTTCGTCTGAAACACAGAAGGCATTTTTCTATTATATAGGTACTGCTAGGCTTCAAAACTTTCACAATTGCATATATATTTCTCTGTACTCAGCGTAAACTAATTGGTGTTAGCACAACTTTTGTCATACAGTTAAATCATATAATCCTTCAAATTTGATTAAAAAAACGTTGAACATGTATATACACTGAATGGCTATTTTTTATTATAAAACACGTGTATATATATATATTTTCTTTTAACAGAAAAGCCTTTATTTGGACCCAATCGTCAGGAAATGTACTACTATTGAATTATTGTCTTCCCGTACTCCGTTTCACCGACAGCTTTTCCGTATGCAGTGACCTCGGGGATACACACCACTATTTATTGGCCATTTTTATTTCTAGTATGCAAAACTCATGACACCTTTTGTAAGAAATTCGGTAAACGCACTACCCAAAAGCAAAGGGGAAAACTAGTGATTGAGAAAAAAATACACAAGGGTGGAAGAAAGATACTACTTGCTGATTCTGAAAGACAACTTTTCAATACGCCAAATCATTTAACAATTGTTCATGTCGTTATGACAAAAATTAATTTACAAAACGAAACGCATGGAAAATATATAAAAAGAAGTCAGCTCTATTATTTCACTTGTTATACACATGCTAACTGTGCTTAATTTCCATGATTTTGTATTGCTTTATCAGTGTAAAGATCGGTAAATTTCGGAAACAAAAGCCGTCAAATAAGTTAACAAACAAAATTACCAATCACCGCATGATTTATTTTTCTCAATTATGTACAGGGGACTTTAGTCTTTAGTTTGTATATATCCATGCATTGATTCAAAATTTGTTCCTAACATTATAATTACTTGAAACTTGTTTCATTTGACTTTTAATACAAACTTTAATTTACTAAGGTGAACATAGTGATAACCCATATTTTCTGTGCAGCAGAAAAAGGGTGTTAATAGAATATTTCCAGTGCAGTAGACACAACTTAGAATATACATAATTTGTTAACCTATTTATTACTTTCAAGGAAAACAGAATTAAATATTCTCCATATGAAAATAAATACTTTGCTAAGGGGTCATTTGAGTTCTTCGTTCAACTCATAATAAAACCAAAGTTGCAAAACGAGGCATTATGAAATGGAATTTGTTTGGTCCCTTGAATTCGAAAATCAAATGTATTATAAATCAACAAAATAATTTCCTACATACTATCATCAGACATTTATTACATTTGTTTATAGATATAAGTATTTACATGTAGTTTTAAATGCTGTTTTAAGATATTGTGCTTCAAAATACTAATGTTAAAGTATGTAAAACATGATTTTGGTAAGGTCCTGGCTAATATCTATTTTTTTCCAAAACCTGTGTAAAAAATTGAATTTCAAAACATTTTTTCACAGTACATTGGTAAATCATAATGACGTTTCTGCACTGAAACCAGATAATATCAACTGGTTCATGTATCAATAGAATAAACATAACTTTAAAAAGTCGTGAATAATTTTACTATTCCTTCATTTTCTAAGGTCAAATAATTAATTTTTGATGAACCTTGAACATCATAGACATTCATGGACTGTGACTGTTTAAATTTTCCAAATCTTTAAAAAAAAAACATTGGATAAAATTCATATTTTTTTCTTTAAAACCTTTCATTCGAGCGTCACTGATGAGTCTTTTGTGGACGAAACGCGCGTCTAGTGTACAAATATATCAGCCTTGTATCTTTGGTGAGTTTTTTACATTCTTTCTCTGCATTATTTTTGAGTTCTCAAGTGAAAATTGTATGGCACTATTATCCCTTGGACGAATTGATATATTCAAATTATAATACTCAAGGTTGGATTCTTTTCCTAAGAAACATATTCCCGCTTACATCAAGCCAACAGACGGCAAATCAAATGTATTCCAAAATAAAATGTCGCTATCTAAGTAGTATCTTTGTGTTCATGTAGGTTACCTGTTAGCCATATCTTTTACTAGCTAAGGATGGTTATTCAGATAATACCTTGCAGAAAACTACCGTGTGTATTAAAAACCAAAGACATACAGTTAATTTAAGCCTATCACTAAGTACTGAGACATTATAACTTCATCATTCAACTATTTTTTCTCAAATCAATTCATTCCCAAGCCACGTGCACATGCACCCAAGATGTTATCTAAATGATGTCAATACTCATTCCCAAGTACATAGGCGTTAGATTTGTTTAATGTATTAATGATCATTTTCTACCTTTTTCAGCTTTTGGTTTTTCAATCTTTAAATGTAATTCCTTAACTAAATGATTGGGTGGATTCAAAATTGTCTAATAGTTTTAGATGATGTTGCATCATTCTCAAAATCAAATGTAAAATCAATAAATGCTAAGTCACTCTTTCAATAACCGCTTTGAAAAACGCACAAATGACTTCCAATACATTTGTTAGAGTATACCCCAGGACAAGGTCATTGTATCTGCGTCTATGTTCTGGTCGTACATTTTGCAACCCTATCTACAGAAATATTTTGATTTTACCATTTATCACATTTATCTAAACCGTAATTTGGAAAATTTTCCATTTACAATATGCATAAGTTAACTCATCGTACTGACGTATATTTCATACCTAATAAACGCCTAAAGGGCATACTATATCTTGGTCTTAAACCAGATATTTTGACGGAAATATAACGATTGGAATCATTCAAAGGAGTAGGTCCGGTAAGGGCCGATTTTGGCCTCAAAATTCAGGTTCATTTGATGAAAGATTTTGGACACTTTTTAAACATTTAAGTGTCTACTTCAGTCGATTTAATTAGTTTATGTGAAAGATTTGAACTGATTTAGTCATTAAAGACGCTCAAATTCAAGCTTAAATATGAAAAATCTATCAAATATGCCATAATATGTCACTTTTCAGATGGTTTTTGTCAAAAACGAAAGTGGCCGCATCCGTGTTCATTCTCAACCTTTATATATGTAATGTATTATCATCAAATACAACTTGCATTTAAATATTAGGAATGAACACAAATGCGGCCACTTCCATTTTAGACGAAAACCGTCTAAAAATTAACCAAAATGCTAAAATTTGGAAGATTTCAGTAATGTGACATGACTTAATGATGCTATTACCAGATACATGTGCATTGTATTGTCAAAAACAGCCCATGTTTATGTAACAGAAGTATTCTACTTTCTATTAAATAGCTAAAAGTTTACATTTTAACAATTTTGTAAAACTGCTATATTTTGGGGCCAAAAAGGGGTCTTACTGGACCTACTCCTTTCGTATAATGATAACTTTAACAATTTAAATGCTCATTTTTTTTACAGTACCAATGGACCAACTGAAAGCAATTTTTTTAGCTGTCATGTTCTGCATGTGCTGTTTAAGTTTTGCTGATGGTAAGAAAACAACTAAATGAATTCCACAATTTGATTGTTACTTGTTTAATGCCAAGAAGCAAATATTTTATGCATATTCAGGACGAGAACAAATAACGAATCAATACAATGATTAGTTTATCCAGGGTTGGACGACAGTTATGAATTACTGGACATTTTGACTTCCATTTACATTCAGATAGTGGCAATCTCACTACACGAGGCGTAGTATTCAACGTCAAACTTCCGACCAGGCGTGGCTGAAAACTTGTATTCCCCGCACAGCCAAACAGAAGATCCCCTTTTATCAAACAAAAGTAACTTGAAATTAAATATTACGAAATGATTTTTGAAAAACTGATATATGAGATGAATTGTCTTCTGCGTTTAAAAAAACGTATATTTCACCAGAAAAATAACAATAAATAGTTGCAAACAAAGGTTATAGAACTAAATGCATTTCTATTTCAGAAAATAAAAAGAACAAAAAAACAGTTTAAATATAAAAACCTCCTCCTCTCCATAAAACAAACTTTTTTTGGCAATAATAACAGAATGTTTGCCAAATTTTCAATCTCGTCTTTTTTTTCTTTGGATATATGGGATTTCCTTACATTCAAATACGTTTGACATGTTTGGTTACTGATTAACAGGAATTGGAATAGTCTGCCTGATTCATATATTTATGCCGATAAATACCCTCTTGTCTAAAAAAGAATCCGGGGCCATGGTGGCCGAATGGTCTAATTAGTCAAACTACTACTTATATAACTACCTTGTTAACACTAGGGTGTCTATTTAAGACCCTACGGTGATCTGTAATTACTTATATACAATTTATTTGAACTCTGGTGGATAGTTGTCTCCTTTGTAATCATTATTCATTTCCTTTTTTCAACATTGAAAAGTTTTGTTTTTCTGTTTATCAACTTTGAAATATTTCATCACCCCATAGATTTCAAACAGGTATCCATCAACCTTCTGAAAAATACATGTATATGTCTAATGTACACTGTCAACACCGTTTTAATGACACCATCTCATATATAAATGTATATCCTCAAACAGGCAAATTGTGTCTCTATCCTACAAAATTTCAACACATTTCTTTACTTCTGTCAATAACCTTTGAATTTTATCACCAGATGTAAGTTTATATTCATTCACTGTGTTATCATTGCAAATTTCATAAAGATTCTGATATCATATAATAGGTTATTTATTACTTATATTTAAGTTGAATGAAGTTGTACATTTCAGTATTTAATTGTTTTTTTTAATTTTTCGAGTAAAGTAGTTTTTCATCCAAGGTAGTTTTGTACTATATAAAAGATATGCATTCCTCAAGAAAAAGAAAAACATGTTGAATTTGTTTTTCGTTGAGTATAATTCATTTGGATAAATCAAATAATTAGAGAGTTGTGTTTATAACAATCTTTCAAGAAGTTGGAAACCAAGTGCACCATGGCTTGGCAGAACCACAGTGATCTCCGTTCCGGAAGACAGAGATTTGTTTGAACTTGCAGAATTATTTTTCAACTACAGAATTTAGATGTCACAGAGACTTATATAATTATCAAAAGGTTGACGATGTGTATGAACAGACTTAGGGAAAGAAAACCAGAGACCGTTTCTGCTTCTGACGCTGCTTCTGATGTCAAGCCCAGAAAATCCAAGGAGCATGGCACGTTTTGAGAGAACAGGCACTTGGACAACATAACCAACAACGACAGTATAGTTTGTTGATGGGATGAGATTTCTAAAAGTCAATGAATCGGAACACATTGTCGAAAATCAGAGATGCCAACCTTTTTGCCTACGAAGTCTAATTCCGCGGTAGCTGTTAAAGCAAATACAATAATGACCCTGCGAAATGGAGAAGTGGGAAGTAAGGTTGGATGGAAAAACGGCAAACTAAAAAGGAAGCTGGTCATAACATGGCATTCAAGAAGGAACGAGCATGGGCGTTTCGATGGACGTGTATTTTGTCAGAAATTGCAATGGCCGACTTTGAAAACTCTTATAACAGGGCTGAAATCTTAAGCTTAGTGTCATAAATGATAATTTGAAAAATATTAAGAAGAGATATGACAAAAGCTGGTTAATATGCCTTTAACATAGTTTTCCAGTGCAGAAAACTTTTTTCTCTTTTTTTTTCTTTGTTTGTTCTTTCAGGATAGACTCCTTTCCTCCTTTGCTTTGCCCAGTCTCCGTCAGTAAGACATCGTTTACGCTCACTTGAACAGGACTTATGTAGAACGGTTACCAATATTCGTGATGGGGAACATCAAATTAATAATTTGGTGTCGATTTCAGTCGTTCTTCCTTATAACTCTGTTTAAGTAGTATTTATGTGATGAGCACACTCCTGTTAACATATTCAGCATAGTGTGAACATGCACGAGCATAACGAATCAATTGAGATCTGTTAGCGCCATGCAATGCAGCTGTGAGAAGTTAACTGTATCACTTTTAGCATAGATTCAAGTTGTCCATCTGTGTCAAATCGAGGAAACGATCAAGATATGAAACTTTTTCTTTAGATGGTATCCTTTATATCAAGTCCATTGGATATATGAGATGTAAGCACTTATTGAAATGTTGGTTATTGAGCGACAGGACATCATCAATATATTTTAAAGATAAATCAAAATCTTTTCGTCGTTCAGAAGGGTCTCCATGAACGCTGCTTTGTTTGGGTACAAAAACGTATCGGCCAGTAGTGGTGCACAAGTAGTACCCATTAGAATACTACCTGTCGTCTGATATAGCAGTCCATCAAACTTAAAAACATGTTGTGGATCAAAAGGTCCAGCATTTTGATGATCACACAGGAATTTGTTCCACACAGTAATGAACTTGATGAACGCAGACTGCTGTAAAGGCAAAGGTAAAAATGTGTCATATCCCGTTGAACAAGGGTAAGTGGTAAGGTCTGACAGAGTATTTGAGTTTAAGCAAAGTCACCATTCTGTGGATAATTGACAGGTATCTTAGTTCTTTCAATATTCACGAGTTATCCGGTTTTATGGGGTTTTCATTCGGTAGTGACAGTCTTCCAAGGCTAACCACTACTACTAGTATTTATTATCTTGTCATAAAGCATCATATCTCTTACAAAAACGAGGATTAAGAGTTTTGGGCAAAAGAAATTTACCAGGCGTACCTGACAATAACAATTGATTTTGTGTGAGTATGAAGTACTTTTTTATTTGGAGTCATCCACTTAAATATGAAAACTATATAATAATGATTGGAACTTTCAATGCTTTGTGCGCATTATTATAACTGCTTGGAAAGAATATGGAAGGCACTAGATTAGACATAGTGTGCGAGACCCTTATGGCTAGTCGTGGTCATTATACACTCTTGTGGTACTACACTAAGATTATCGGATAACTTTTTAGAAGCAGGTATGTCAGATTACGGGTCTTTTAACGGAGTAGCAAACATTACAGTATGGCAAATAAACTGTCATAAAACTTTGCTTGAAGCACTGGAAAAATTGTTGTGTAAAATGATTCAGATTCTCAATAGGAGAGGAACAGCCCAATTCAGCTCTTCCTGAGATAATAATCTATACTGTTGATAATCATTTGCAGGTCTGGCATGGTTGTTCGGTATCTACGATTCATAACAGGGTTGGATTTGCGTAGCACATGAGGGACAATTAGATCGAAGTACTTTCGGAATCGCAGATATGTAGAGAAAAGAACAAGCGAAGGTCACCAGCGTGAACTGCGTTCATTTGAATAAAACATAGTTAAAGATGTAGACGCTATAATGGGTTTAATTAATCGCTTGATACAGAGAAGGATATATTGGTGCTTAGTCTTCTGATTGTGTTGCAGATTCTGCTACTGGGCATAATGTAGAAGAAAAGGGGAAATCTGTAAAGCCTGCGTTCATCAAAAGCTGTCTTTCAATCAACACCATTTTTGCTTTGAACTTATCCGTTTTCCTAATGTGAATACTAGTATCGAGCTTACTTCAAAAACAAAGGTCAAATATTCGACCGATATGGTTTTAGAATACAGACAGAAGCACAATTTTACATTCCAGTTGAAAACATGCCGCACAATCAGTTGAAAATATGCCGCACAATCATATGTTTTGACTTTTGCTAAACGTAGTAGTACAAATGAACTTTCCATTTCAGGATATTATTTTTTTCGAAACTTCATAGTAAAAGTGGCATAGTTTTAACCAGTAAAATGAGTTCCTATGTGAAATTGCATTGTTCATATTTACAGAAACACAACCTAAAATATTTTACCATCTCGGCTAGGATATCAAAAAATTTCAATATTGATGATACCCTTTTTCATAACTAAATGAAATTTAAAACAGTTTTGCTTATTATTTTCAAAATCATAGTAATATTAAGAATTATGATAAGTTACTACCAGAAAGACATTAAAATGTGATTTAACTTATGCATGTATCGTAACATGTGATAAGTAAAAATTTTTCTCCAGTTTTCTTTTCTTACAAATTCAGATATCGACAAATGCCATCCAAATCCATGTTTGCACGGTGCTGAATGCAAGGATGCTATTGACGATTACAAGTGTATCTGTAAATCAGGTTACAAAGGACAGAACTGTGAAATAGGTAATATAAAGTTGAAAAGAATTGTTTGTTATTGTCTATTAATGCTGCTTTCTTTATCCAAAATCCCTCCTGATGGCTTGTTTCTATTTCAACTCGACAGAACATAAACGAATGTGTTACTTATAGATAGCAATAAAATAATTTTCAGGTATTGTTCGTCACTAACTTCATGAAAGATAGACGGGTTGAATACAAAACCCAAGGATCATTATATATATATCGTTAAAAAAAAACAGAAAGAGATGATAACAAGTTAGCTATAAAAGACCATTAGTCATAATAAAAATAGCAACATCATAGCCTAAATGAAAAGACGTCACAGAGATAAATAAATGTTCACTACACAGCAAAAACTCAACTTTGAGCTACTGAAACCACAACACATAGCCAGGTGAATGTACGTGCAATAGGAGTCTGTTTAGTTCCAGCAGCCCATTAAGCAAGTTGATCTTCCAACTTAATGTTTGGTGTAAAAACCGTGCATATCAATTTGTTCAAGTATATCCTCTGCTTGTGTGCTTTAGCTTTTAGATCCATATGATTCCCTGTCTATGTGTTGCAGATATCGACGAATGTTTTTCAAATCCATGTAAAAACGGAGCTTTGTGTAATGTTAGTGATAACGATTACATGTGTATATGTAAACCAGGCTACAAAGGAAAGAACTGTGAAATAGGTTATAATATGATAACTTAAGGAAATTGGGGAGATGCAAATCATTTGTAAGATTTATCCATTTCTATTGTTTCCATATACTATAATAATTATATCAAATGCATTTGAAATAAGATCTTCAAACAGAAAAATATCATGTTTTAATTTATCACCAACAACACAAATGAAGGACGCCTTTTATTTCGAATCTCATAGTTCAGTTTAAAAAAATTTTAAAGTATATTATGTGGGGGTTTCCTTTTCCTACTGATTTGGTCAACGGATAAAATAATAGACCTCTATCAGTGGAATTACATACTATGCATATTTAAAAAGTACAATCTTTTTAAAAAATCTAAATTTTTACTTGCAACAAATTATGTTGCACACATGTTTAGACATACAATTGAAGTCCCAAAAATACCGCGACGTTTAAAACAATAAATTTGCAGTGGTTTTTGCATGACATTTTTTATTATTTGTGTTATTTGGAATAATTTGCGCATTATAAATTCTATTTTATTTATTCACAAATTTTGTAAATCCTTGCTGATTAAGAGTTTGGTATACCAAAACTGTAACTAATTCACAAATAAAACTATTAAATAATGCTTAAAAATTTGGATAGTCATATCTCAATGAGTTAAAGTGCAAACATCGAAATAATGATTTCTTTCATATACAAATGTACCAGCACGTCATGAAAAGTGAGGAAAAATATGGATATCTTTGCCCAATTCTTTAAAAAAAATTTCATAAAACATTCGAAACAAAAAAGAAAACAGAAAACGATAAGTTCATCAATTAATGATACTAGAATATAAATTTTAGTCAAAATGAAACATGAAGGATTATTCCTATAATTTTAATAAATCACTGCATGTAGTAGTACTATAGAACTTTGTGAGGTCTCATCATTGAATTTTGTTGAATACAGTGAAATGAAAAAAGGACATTTATGTAGGATAACTTCTTGTCATATCTATATTCTCATAAATTTATAACTATTGGAATACAAATATTTGATTTTTTAGAAACTATGGAACAGCGTAAACGCTTAATTAGGAAAGCGGTCGAAGAAAAAGTGTAAGTAAACATTTTTTTTTTCTATATCAATTTTTACAGAAAGCTTTAAATTGTAGAATCTTGCTTTCATTTCTGATTTGAATATACAATATATTCGAATAGTACACATTTTTTCAAGTAAACCAAAACGATCCATGCATTATTTATTAAAATATACATTTTATTCAGGACGGACTTGAGGAGAACAGCTCTTAACTAATAATTCAAAAAATTATAAATAAATGCTAACGATGAAAGTTTTCCCTTGACCTTTCTTTCATAGATGGTTAATATAAACTAGCGTTTAGACTTAAGTTATGCATTTGATCAAGTTGAGCAAGTTATCATAATTGTGTTAACAGATTTTCATTTAACTTTGATATTAATGAAATACAGTCATAAGAAAACTATATGATCTTCTTTTCAGGTATGGCATAACTGCAATAATAGTAGGCACCATCGAGTGTGGAGTTATTACTATATATTGTTTTTGGAATAATAGACGATAAAAACTAAACTCAAAAAAAGTTGTGATAATGGAAGTTTATGTGCATAACCGTTTCATATGTTTTTTTTTATTATCCTATTTCTTAACAGCACAACGTTGTTATGACATAAATGTTATGATAATAATTTATAATGGATTGTGATATATATATTTGCTGAACTATGAAGTAATTGTATGTTAAGGCTTTCTAAACTGTTGCGCTTGATCTTGCTGTTGATGACGATCACATAAGGAATTTCGCCTACTAACAATGACCACGTATCTCTATAACACAAAGCTTTCGCAGAGATGATGTTGTTTTGTCGACGATACTTGAAATTCAAAGAGACTAAAATGAAAAATAATTCTATGCATTTCAAAAAAGTTTTGGTAACCATGATGGTCAGCACAAAAACGCTCAACACATGTATATCAGGATGAATCAAGACGAACTAACAACATGATCAAAGATTCAAAACGACGATCGAAATGGTTCGATGAATTAAAAATATGTGGAACGGTTTTGAAGTCAGAATGTTTGTTAATAGCGATCTATTCGCACTTAACCATGACGTTTAAACTGGACGGACATTGCTTGAAACATTTTATTTGACTAACTCCTTTCGAAATGTCAATATTCTTTTTCTCATTTTCTCATTTACGTAACGTTTAATTCCACATCAAGGTTTAATCACTGTTGCATTTCTGTACATAACAACAAAATTATTTTCATTTATCTGTGTATAATATGACGCAGGTTTCTTCAAAAGTGATGATTTTCTATAAATTGTTTGAAATTTCACAGTGATATCATACTTTAACTTTGTTTAAACCGGTTTATTTACTTTTGACTTTAATTATTTATCCCTTGTAATTTTTTTTTAACTGTGTATTTGCATTCAGGTGTCACAGGTCAAATTTATTCGTTCATTGTGTGTTAATTTACGTTTTTTGATTGAGTTAAGCCTTCCAATTGATATTTAATAGTGTGTTTTTCTTTGTTGTGATGTTATACTATTGTTTCAGAAAAGGGAGAAGGTTTGGTACCATTAAAACGTTTAATCCCGCTGCAAATGTTTGCACCTGTCCTAAGTCAGGAATCTGATTACAGTAGTTGTCGTCTGTTTATGTAGTTTATATGTGTTTCTTGTTTCTCGTTTTTATATAGATTAGAACGTCGGTTTTTCCGTTTGAATGGTTTTGCATTAGTAATTGTTTTGGGGCCCTTTATAGCTTGCTGTTCGGTGTGAACCAATGCTCCGTGTTGAAGGCCGTACCTTGACCTATAATGGTTTACTTTTATAAATTGTAACTTGGATGGAGAGTTGTCTCATTGGCACTCATACCACATCTTCCTATATCTATATCACCACATTCATTCGTTGCTTAAGCATATTATATTTTGATAAAACATTGTCATGTTCTTCAAAACAATAATTGTAAATGTCACAAGGCATATTCGTATTTCCAAGTATATAAAGGGCATATCATCAATAGAGTAAACATTTGTCAAAATAATTCTTTCGAATTAATTAAGTGTCTATCATTTACCTGGCGACAGTTTAAACGGTTTTATTGTATGCAGTTACTTAAATTTTAATCGTAAAGTAAGTTGTTTTCATATTTCCTTAACAGGGTTGGCCTTTCTGAGAAATCGAACAAGAAGAACTGCAGGAATTCAATAATGTGTCCAACAAATACGAAGAGTTCCGTAAATAATATGTTAACAGAATATTTATAATTAATTCGTGTTTCGTGTCATTTCAGATATTTACAAATAATTCAAATGTTGTATGAATATTGTCCATCCAAATTGTTTAAAAGACCAGATTTCGTTCAATTCATTAAATGAACCTTTTGGGAGTTTTATTCTTTGTTTACCATAGTCTGATAGTAACGAAATGATTGTATGACCTGAAAATTATAATGTTTTTCATAAAAACATCGTTTCAATATAATATTAGCATTTCCCTAAATTCAAAATCGAAAAACAGCAAATAACTAGAACTGCTATTGCCAGCAATAGCAGATGTTACCCGCCCCCATTGCCACAATAACGGCAGCCATTTTGAAAATTCCAAAGTCGAAAGCCAGATATATATTTAATCTATATATGCTAGTTAACATTTCTGGAAAGTTTCGTTAAATTTGGTGCATTTTAAATTTTTTATATTTTTGCTGTTTCCATGGTTACGGTGACAATTTCTAACATTTTAATGACAGATGCCACATTAGTACATGAGAGGGAACATACCATCAAAGTTTCACTGGGTTTGACCTACCATTTTAATGGAGGAAATTCTACTTCAAGTTTTTAGAAACATTTTGACATTTTTTGCATTGTTTCCATGGTAGCGGCAGCCATTTTGGAAATTCAAAATACAAATGCCACATATACACATGGTAGTCAACATTTCTGTGAAGTTTCATAAAGCTTGGAACATTTTGAAATTTTGACATTTTCTGGTGTAGTATCCATGGCAATATAGTATTTCCGATGATTGTCAAAATCATCCAAAATCTGTATAAAGTGGACATCTACATTGTATAAAAATTAATAAATCTTAGTTCAGGCATACTCAAATAGTTCACCAAGCCCCAAAATTTTATTTTTTTTTTACATTTTTTCAGTTTTCATAGTAACGGCAGCCATTTTTTGGTGCCAAAGTGGGATTTCAAATCTACATATGCTGATTACCATAATGCTTTAGTTTGATCAATATTGGCCCATTAGTCTTACAGGAACGCTCTGGAGAAAAATAGGTGTAATAATAATAATAACTAGATTTGCCATTGCAAGCAATAGCGGATGTCACCCTTCCCCCCATTGCCACTAAGTGGCACTCATTTCAAAAATTTTAAACAGTGAATGCACACATATGCATGGCAATACATCTTTCTGTAAATGTTCAGAAAATTTAAAGCATTTTGAAACATTTCACATTTTGACCTTTTTTGCATTGTTTCCATGGTAACGGCGGCCATTTTGGAAATTCCAACGCCAAACGCCACGTCTACAAATGTTGCTTATCATTACTGTGAAGCTTCATAAAGTTTGAAGCATTTTATCAAAATCATTCAAAATCTGTATATAGTGGACAACTACAGTGTATCAAAATTAAATGATTTTAAGTTTAAGCATACCCAAATAATTCACCAAACCTTAAAATTTTATTTTTTCACCTTTTATCGGTTTCCATAGTAATGGCAGCCATTTTTAAGTTCCAAAGTTGCACTGCAACTCGTACGTTAGGGTTCCTTGTTATAGTGAACAACCATTAAGATTGGTTCCTTTGGCTCTGAGAAAACTGCAGGACAAAATTAGGTGGAATAATAATAATAATAACTAGAATTGCCATTGCAAGCAATAGCGGATGTCACCCTTCCCCCATTGCCACTAAGCGGCAGCCATTTCAAAAATTTAGTGAATGCACATATATGCATGTACATCTTTCTGTAAATTTTCAGTACATTCAGAGCATTTTTAAAAATTCACATTTTTGCCGTTTCCATGGCAACGGCAGCCATTTTGAAAATTTCAAAGTCGAAAGTGTCATCTTTACTTGCAAGTTAACAATCCTATCAAGTTTCATTAATTTGAAAGCATTTTGAAAATTTTTGACATTTTTGCAGTTTTCATGGCAACGGTGGCCAATTTGGAAATTCCAAAGTCAAAAGTCTCATCCAGAGTTGCCAGTCAACAATCATATTTAGTTTCTTCAATTTATGTGCATTTTGAAATATTTGAAACTTTTGACATTTTAGATGGTTCCTATGGTTACAGAGACCATTCCAAAAATTTAATGGCAGATACCACATTGGTACATGGGAGGGAACATACCATCAAATTTTCAATGGATTTGACCTACCATATTAAGAAAGTAAATGCCACTTTAAGGTTTTTTGAGCATTTTGACCTGTTTTGCATTGTTTCCATGGTAACGGCAGACATTTTCGATATTCCAACGCCAAATTCTTTATCTACCAATGTTGCTCATCGTTACTGGGAAGTTTTATTAAATTTGGAGCATTTCGATATTTTTGAAATTTTTAGTGTAGTATCCATGGCAACATAGCAGTTCCAGTGATTGCCAAAATCATCCCAAACCAGTATATAGTGGGCACCTACATTGTATCAAAATCTAAAGATGTTAAGCTTAAGCATTCTCAAATAATTCAGCGAACTCCAAAATTATATTTTTTCACCATTTTTCAGTTTCCATGGTGATGACAGCCATCTTTTAGTTCCAAAGTTGCACTGAAACTGGAAAGTCAGGGTTCCTTGTTATAGTGAACCATCATTCGGATTGGTAGCTTTGGCTCTGAGAAAGCGGGGGGACAAAATTAGGTGGAAGAAAAATAATAATAATAATAATAATAATAATAATAGGGAAAAAGAAACAGAGAAAAAGCAATATGTCACCCGACATTGTCGATCGGATGACATAATAATAATATAAAAAAGAAACGGAGGAAAAGCAATATGTCACCCGACATTGTCGATCGGGTGACATAATAACAATAATAATAATAGGGAAAAATAAACGAAGGAAAAGCAATATGTCACCCGACATTGTCGCACGGGTGGCATAATCATGGTTTCATGTAGTTAATATAAATCTTGATTAAGGATATTAATATGGTTGCACTAAATTTCAGGTCCTACATTTTTTTTTAAATATATTGTTACTTAGATGTGGATTTACATAATTTTGTGAGCAATTTATGCACAAAACTTCCAGATAAAAATAGTCCATCAACAAAAAACAAATCTCTTGATGTCGAAGCAGACATACATATTGTAACAGAACTCACTCCGGATGCCGTTATCATGACCAAAATGATCAGTTATTTATCAGCATATATGCGTTATTTGTTCAGTGACGATAATGATCGAATAAGTACAGTCAGGATTCTACTTCGTCAAAATTATCCCCCCATTACGCCACCTAAATTTTCATAATCGTAAAAATGGAAGCCATTGTAGTGATGACGCGCTGTCAATTTAGCTCTTGAAAACCGATCAATTTATCCACATAGCATTATTACGATCCGTATATGCCAGTTGTATCTTAAAAGACAAATCTACTAGCTATTGAGTATCACATGTATCATTTAATGTACTTTTATGCATTTGGTCAACTTAAAACTATTGTCTGATCGGTTGTCAGTGGGAATTTTCGAAAGTTAAAAAATATTCTAAAAAATTCGAATTCAATATTTCGTGGAAGGGCAGACTTAAAATTTTCAAAGGTTGAGGACTAGTTACCCTAGATAACACACACAAAAAAATCAATTTTTTTTGAAGTTATGCATTTTTAAGATCCACTTGTAAACACTATCGTCAAGTACTTTTAGTAAAAATTTGTTATTCGAACTTGCACTTGACACCTACTTTTGACTCATGAGAAAGATATTTCAGTGGACCCATATATTTCATTTCTTAGTACTGTAAGTTTTCAATGTTATTATATCAACCTATAACATTAATATATAGAAATAATATAATCTGAATCTGAAGCCAGATGATGTATCAAATATTTTTGTTTTATACGTTTTCAAGACAGGATAGTAAACTAAAACACGCCTGGACATAAGAAGGTGTACTCGACTTTCTCTTTTCGATAAAATAATGGCCCATTTTTGGGATGTTTTTCAAAAAAACTGCCGCCGGGGCAGAGATGCAAATTACTGCTTTAAAAAAATCAATCTATTGTCTTTTTTTTCATTTTTTTTTCGGCGAAGTTTATGCTTATGCACAAAAAAGAACCACAATAATTTGCACCTACTACAATCGACTTTTTTGTGAAAATATGTCTTTAATTTAAAAGTTTACAAGTATCCCGGAGCTCCATACCATGATTTAAGTAAAACACATATATAAAATTCATAAAATCCTTAATTATGTACATGCATTAAACTTAAACTTAAACTTAAGCCCATAGAAACAAATGTAAACAATTCAAATTTACGAACTTGGCCTTTTGTATCTTCTCTAATAAAGAGTTCAATTTCTTTAGTTTAATTTCAACTAGGTTTCCACCTGAGTAGTTTTGAGGAACAAAAATAGAACAAAAGCTGACGCAGAAATTCAATCAAATTTTATATAAACAAATAAATAGTGAGGCATCAAAAATACGTTAGGTTGTAAATAAGACTGTAGATGCACTGAGGTCAGATATAGATCGGGATCTTAAAGTAGTTGAAGATAAGTTAGACGGAATCTCTAAAACAGTAGGTGAAATAGGTAGTAGATCAACAAATTCAACACAAGATATTTCAAAAACGTGATAATTCGAAATCTTCCAGAGGTCGAAATGAAATGAGAACCTGAAGTTAACGATAGCGGCCTGATTTACAGAGGGTCTGAAAATAGCGAGAATGGGTACATTTAGTGTCGAACGCAAAGTCAACAAGTCTGGCCGGGATGGCGTAGTTGTAGTAACTTGTAAATCAAGAGATGACCGAGATACTATCTTTTCAGCCAAAAATAAGCTTAAAGTCAGTAGACAATATAGTAACATGTATATACACCCTGAAATGACCCTACAACAACGCATTGAATCAGAAAATATGAGAGTGCTAGCAACAGCTCTGAAGTCTGTAAAACAAAAGAGAGTGTGTGAGAGGATCTAAATTTGTTGACGAATCCATGCGTCAAGATTCCCACAACAATGTTCGTTCGAATAGGTGTCGTCAAAATAATCGTCATACTGGTATTTACAATCGACATTCTTCCACCAGTCAACACAGAGACAGTTCCGATTACCAAACACAACGTAGCAGTTACAGTGACACCTTCGATTGCCGACCATCAAGAAATAACAATGAACATTATATGCATGACAGTTCGGAACAATACCGTTGAGAGAAAAAGGTTAAAAAAAAAATGTTTTTTGGAATATCAATGGATAGAGTAAAAATACCTTTTCTGACAATTTTATGGTACGTTTAAATTCAATTTCATGTTTAAATCTTGATGTGATATGTATTGCTGACACTCATTTGAAAAAGAAGAAGTACTGATTATAAATGGGTTTAAATGGTTTGGTCATAAGAGAAATGGTATCCGTAAAAACGCTAAGTGCGGTGCAGGTGGAGTTGGTATTTTTACAGTAGGTATAGTGTCCGACTGGGATCGTGTTTTTTCGAGTGATTTGATCGGGTTTTTTCGAGTGTGACCGCTTTTTTTTCGACTGACTATGATCACAAATGTAAACAAACAGACTTCTTTTTTGTGAGATGTGAAACAGATGCTTAAACTTAATATACAAGATCAAACAAGATAAGTTAGTATTGGTGATAAAAAGAAATCATCACCCCTACATTGTGTTGTGTATTAGCTTTACAAGGCTTGTATTCCAAAATATAGAATAAAGCGGTTTTTATAAAAGTACCAATGCAAATGTCATAGGAAATACATATTTGGAATCTATATGTCCTTAGATATACAGACACTTTAAAAAAATTCTTGTTATTGCATTGAGAAGGACATTTTTAGAACAACTTCATTTTTATATGTACGTGTTTTTTCGAGAGCAGTCCGGATTTTTTGAGTGAGGTCCAGGTTTTGATCCAGTAATTATACAAAACTTCAATGGCTTAAAATGTTATATGTCAGTGCGATTACGTTTAAAAAACAATGAAAAAGTTCAAATAATGTATTTTTCAAAGCACGAAACCAATGCATTTAACCAGTTTGATATAACTGTAGTACGTATTACGTACATTCGTAAAGAGCATCGTATATTTGTATATATTATTGTTTGCCACATCTCATAAATTGCATGGACACCGGCATTGGTATATTTGGATAGATCAAACATGTCCACGCCCATGTAAATATGGTGGAACTATCCAACACATCAACCCCCAGGTACACATGTTGTATCGATCCAAACATACGTATGTCTATGTCAATTCAACCAAATATGGATATCATACAGTACATATTCGTGTTGTAAACAATATTAATGTAAACACAGATATATATATATATAAAGAAAAGAAAATTTGTTCTATGAACGCAAATGAGACAACTAACCACAAGAGTTCAAATGACGAAGATAAAAGTAGATATAGGTCACCGTACGACCTTCAATAATGTGAAAACCCTATACATTATACTCAGCTCTAACAGGCCCCAACATGAAAAAATTGAAACAATTAAAACGAGAAAACTAACGACCTAAGTTTTACAATACAAAGTACAAAAAAAAACAAATTTGACGAACCTGAACAAACGACAACCACTGAATTACAGGCTCTTGACTTTGGGACAAGCATTTAAAGATTGTGGCTGGGTTAAACATGTTTGTAAGCCCTCAACCCTCCCCTAACTTTGGACAGTGGCGTTACAGCACAAAGTAAGAACCAATTGTAAAAATCAGTTACAAATGGCTTTACTCAATAGATCGGTACAAAGCACAGACAAACCAACTGACATAAAACCAATAGACAAAAAATATCGATATAAGAGTACTCGCGGTTACTTAAATAAAGGCAACAGTAGTATACCGCTGTTCAAACCAGTTACAAATAAATCATGTTTTCTCAGACTAAAGTATCAAGCAGTAGAATGTTGGATTGAAACGTACACGTACATTGTGTGTGTTAAGCGGATATGTGTTTTTTTAACAGAAAATACATCCTAGATGTTTCATTTACTATTGGTCTTGATGATAATTTGTGTTATCCTTCTATGAATAGAAAACCAAGAACAATTTGTAAATACTACTACTGTGATGAGGAGTATGAGCAAGCGTTATTATACTAGGTCACACAGCAATAAAACACCATGATAGCTTCCTTAGTTAGCAGTTAGCAGTGCTTTAAAAACATGAAAATACGGATCTTTATCTAGACATTAAAATTACTTGTGTATATCTACGGAACTTTGCGAAAGACATGAATTAAATACACGAGGTGTACCCTATTGTATAACCATTTTTTTATTATTATTTCAAAAGGATCATCTTAAAGCTTATAGATTTTTTATTTCACTGTTTATTATATATTCCATTCAAATCAAAAATTTTTGTCAATAGGAAATAGTACAGGGGCGGATTAAGTGGGTTTTTTTTTGTTTTTTTGTTTTTTTGTTTTTTTTAGGGGGGCTTGGCTGGACCCAAGCCTCTCTTAGAAGAGTATTTGTGGTATTTTACATTTTACTGAATTTAAAGCTTCTGTCCCTTTGTTTTCTTAACCTTATCTTTAAAACTCCAGGTTTCGCCACTGTGATATATATATATAAATAGTAAACTATTATTTACTGTCAAATATATTACAACATGAAATGATATTGATAAGATTATGAGTCCCCTGTTCTCGGTTCTAAAGACAGTTTTACAAAGAATCCAGTAATTTCTAATATATCTTAATACTGCAAGGTTATGGTAAAATGATTTCAGAACAGAAAATTACCATTAAATTGAAAAGGGTTAACTAGTAATATGTTTTGTTATATATATATATAATATTGCCCTTCGCTAAATTACATTTACAAACTAGAAAAAGTTAGTTTTTAAGCCCAAGAATACCTTCTTTCTTATTCACATTTATTTTGAAAAACCCGGACCATTTGTTTAAAAAATTTTTGAGGTAAAATTATCGAAATATTCTTCTATAAAGCTGAGGACAACCCATGCTGTGCAAATTTTAGGGTGCACACGCCCGCAACGCCCCCGCCTGAATCCGCACCTGGGTCCTCCGGAAGGGTAAGCAGATACTGCTCAACATGTGGCACCCGTCGTATTACTCATGCGAGTACAAACCCGGTGATAAGTCTAATTCGGTAGGTCAGATTCGATGAAAAGATGAAAAGAGGATGTATTACTTTAGAAAAATCAAATATTAATAATGGTCCTTCAACAATGAGAAAATCCATACCGTATAGTCGCCTATAAAAGGCCCCGGTATGATCATTTGAAACTATTCAAACGAAAAAAAAACTAATGGACTTATTCATAACAAAACAATTTATGAAATTCAAATATGTCAGACATGAACCAACGACAACCACTGCACTACAGGCTTCTGACAGGCACAAATACAGAATGTTGAGGGGTTAAACATATGTTTGTCAGCTCTCAACCACGCTACCCTAACCAGGGCAGTTGTGTAACAGAATAACATTAGAACAAACTGTATTAAAAGAGTAGCCAAATCTATTGATGGTAAACCATATTTTTTTTCGATAATTCCAAATTTGCCAACGACGAAAGGTGTGTTACAAATCATGGCAGTACCAAGGTACTGACTACTGAAGTTTTGATATCCTTTAAGACAAGGAATCCACATGGCGCGATATAGACCCAAAATTAATAATACGCTATAAAATTGGTACGTCCGAAGCTCTTTTCTAGATTTACTTTAATCGGGAATTCTTAATCCCAAACTTTCGAAGCCTAGATTGAATAACTACTTGATTACGAGAAGAGACATTCAAAAATAGCCAAATTCATCTAAGGTCAACTTTGCCAGATGAATTGAACCTTAGTTCCTAAGATTTTTTTAATTTGTCAACTTCGGTGGTATTCACTTGAGTGCTAGCAGATAAACAAAAGTCTCATAAAGCTAAGTATTGTAACTACTTGAATACGCGAGAGACCTTTAAAGAAAAGTCAAATCTATTTAAAGTTGATTTTGCCTCAGGATGTTTATACGTTACTTTCCTAATAATTACTAAATTTATAAATGATGAATTAAGAAAAGTGTTTTTTAAAGCATGATAATGCCGAAGCACTTACTTCTGTGCTGATGATACTCTCGGTGATCATCAGTATAGATTCCCGAAACCTAAAGCATTTTCCCGGTGTATATAGTGATGAAAATAACACTCAACGGGTGGCTACTTATCTGGAAATAATTAGTCATAATGTTTGCAGGGGGAAAGCATTTCTACTATATTAATTCATGATGATTTTTAAAAATCGTTCAAAAGATTGCGGTAAAGTAAATGCTTTAAAACAGGAAGATATCTTTATCTTAGAATAAATAAGAGCAAGGATATGTAAAAAATCAACATATAAAAGGTAAAACATTCAATTTTTCTGTTCTGACTTTTCTTGTCGCAGAAATTAAAATATATAACTTAAAAACAATAATATTAACCATCTGAAAGGTAAAAGAGATGTTGAAAGGCTAACAAATAAACGCAACAGTAGTATACCGCTGTTCAAAAGTCATAAATCGATTGAGAGAAAAACAAATCCGGGTTTCAAACTAAAACCGAGGGAAACACATCAACTATAAGAGGAAACAACGAAATAACAGAACACAGAAGTGCAACAAAAATCAAACAACAATGCAACATTCATAGAAACGAACTATTAAATAACAACTGCCATATTCCTGACTTGGTACAGGACTTTTTCAGACAAAATGGTGAGTTGATCCTGGTTTTGTGGCTAGCCAAACCTCCGCGCTGCATGGCAATGTTAAATATACCGCTAAAATGACAACATAACATGACGGGAACAGAGTACAAATAAATGCAAAAACACCAAAGACAGAGAAATACATAAATAAATAATATAATAGTACATTTCGACATGTTAACCACAGAATAACAACGAATAACTTAATAATTTAGGACAGTACACAAAAACAGCTTAATAGAATTACGAAGTGTGAGTCTGTAACACGAATGGATCAACGCCACAAAAAGTAATGTCACAGGTAAATTTCTAAAAATTGGATATAAATCAAGATTAGGTTTCTAATTATGTTATTTGATGTACTTTATAACAATTACAAGAATATTAATATAGAACTGTGTTAGTAATAGTGCAACTAACTATGTCGGCTTTTCTTCCAAATCAAACTGTGTAAAACAAATATATCCTGTGCACATAATTGCTTTAAACTAAAATCATACAAATGAACTGAGTGATTAATTATCTCTACTTTTACATACGAATAGAAAATAAAAGATAGAATCACAACTACAAACGATATATGATGAAGTAAACATTATATAGTATATGTATTGAAATATATCTCTCAGCACAATTGTCAACATGTATGATTTGAAGATAAGGTATTAAAATAAGATTCCTCTTCGTTGTATAAATAAAACAAAAGTCAATTATTTGGTTTGGATATAATTGTCTCTAAGTGTTCTTTTATCACACGGATTTCAACGGAAACTAAGACTTGTGTGAAAGTATAATTGTATGAACATGAAATACAGTGGTAATAACGGTAACGATGCAGTCCAATCATCACATTGATTGATTGATTTATTTATTGATTGACTTAATGGTGTTTATTTTGCGTCGAAGCAGACAACAACGTCTATGTCACGGCAAAAATATTTTTTTTTTTTCAAAATAGCACAACACAAATCCGGACAAAAGACCATGACATATATGAAATAGTTGATTTAAACAAAATAAAAATGTAATCCAAAACTTCTGTGTTAAAGTTATCTGATATCTTGACTTATTATATTAATTTCAAATTTAGGTTTCTTTTGCATTTATATAGTAAAGTTCGCCTGGTAACATGTGTTAACAGAAACAAACATGTGCAGCTAGAACATACGATGACATAAATTAGCACTGTTGGTAGTCTGTTCTCTCCTGCCAAATAGATTTAGACATATATATTTCATCACATGTGATACAATCAAATATCTACATACAAAAATATATCTAAATTATTCTTTTGAAATGCATTTAAAAACGATAGGAATAACATAAATATAACTGCGGGTCTGACTTATCGTTTGTTTTTGTTTGTTGCTGTATATCATAATTGTTTTTCGTTTATTGTTTCGTACATACATCAGGCCGTTGGTTTTTTGTTTCAATTGTTTAACAATTGTAATTATGTCACGGCCTATGCTTGTTGAAGGCCGGATGGTGACAGATAGTTTTTAACTGTTATGTCATTTTGGAATTTGGTTGCAATTGTCGTAGCCATAATTCCGTCCCCTTTTCCAGGAATGTGACCTCCCGAATATAACTTAACATTGTTACTTACATTAATAATTGTCGGGTGTCATATGGTGAGCGGAATCTGCTTACACTTCCGGAGCACAAGAGATCATCCCTTGGTTTGTTTAAAGTGGTTCATGCTGCTCTTGTTTTTGTTTTAAGGTAGATCGGGTGTATTCCGCCATCTAGGATTGTAAAGTAGTAGAATACAATCGGTTTTGATCTTTATAAAATGTGGATATTTTTTGGAAAACATGTAATTCATTTGTAAGACTTTTCATCTACAAGAAGGAAATTTTGTGTTTACTCATATTTGTATGACTTTTTATATTCCTGTCACGTAATATGTAATTTTAGCGGTATTTTTTAACATTTCCATATAAGCGGGAGGTTTGGCTAGCCATAAAACCAGGTTCAACCCCCCTTTTTTTACTAAATGTCCTGTACCAAGTCAGGAATATGGCAGTTATTACCACATAGTCCGTTTCTATATATGTTTGCGTGTGTTTTTGTAGCAGTTCAGTGTTTTTCTGTTGTTCTGTTTTGTTTCCTCTTATAGTTGACGTGTTTCCCTCAGTTTTGGTTTGGTACCCGGATTTGTTTCAGTTAAATCGATTTATGACTATTGAACAGCGGTATACTACTATTGCCTTTATTCAACAAATACAGAATACTTTTTGTTTGATTCCTTTCTTTCATCAATTTTAATTTAGACCCCCCATCTACCTCAAGTGTTGCTCTTTGTGGGGTTTTTTTTTTTAATTTTTAACATTTTTTGTTGTTAATACAGGTAACAGTCTTTTCAATCAAAATTTCACATTCGGTCAAGTTTCAGGATTAGAAAATTTACATGACCGATTGTTTATGAATCTAGTGATGTCTTGGGATTGGATAAGAGTTAATTCCCAATATGTTATTGAATGATGCCGAATCACTTCATATAACATTTTTGTATAGGAGTAACACGACGAGTGTCACATGTGGGGCAGGATCTAATAACACTTCCGGGCAAATGAAATGATCCCAAGTTTTTGGTGGAGTTCGTGATGCTCATTCTTTTGTTTCCTATGTTGTATTTTTATAGACTGTTGTTTGTCATTGGTAGCGTTTCGTTTCATACCATGACATTGTCAGTTTCGTTTTGCCATTGGTATCTTCCACCTCTGTCTTGGTCTTTTATTGGCAATCACACCACATCTTCTTATTTTTATTTTATAGTAGCTAAGTATATCTAATTATTACATATCATATTGTCTTAAACGGAAGTATTTGGATTGTCTCATAAGGTATGATAAAAGTCAATAGACGGTCTCAAAAGCATGCAGAATAGTTTAAATTTACAATACTTTAAACAATATTTTATTTCTATTGAAAACACGATCTCAAAATGGGGCTATGTTGGTGGGTTTTAAAGCTTTAAAGCAAATATTCAAGACAAAATATCAAAATTTACATTTGTAATCACTAATAAGGGACAAAACTAATGTGCTGTGAACATCTGACAACACTTTTTATTTTTAGAGTTCAAGGTACAAAAAAAGAGGTCTACTTACATCTTTTTTCCTTTATACCTGTATGTGTAAATTACTCCATTGCACAACACATGATAACGTACTATTGTTGTTTCAAACATTGTTTCCAATTATGTTTGCCATTAGGTAATCTAAGTCTGGAAGTTTTTGAAAAATGTCTTACCATCATTATTTAAACTCTCACAATAACAGATTTTATACTCAAAAACAATATATATTCAATTGTAGAAAACTGAAGACTACGAGTTTTTCTAAAACATAATGAACAAACGTTGTTGTGTTCATCTTTGTATAGCCATAAACAACACATATTAACTCTGACGTTGGAAGAAGAAAAGTCTGGTAACTACTTAGGCTATAATATACAAAATTTGTCTCATCAGCTTCAGATAGGTCTTCAGTAAGTAATCAAGATCTTTTATTCTAGGCAAAACAAGATATACTGCTGGCAAGGCTAACAAAGATACCCCTATCACGTCCGCCACTGTTGATTGGAGACCATATCATCAAGCATTATTAATATTTTGTAAAGCGTTCAAAAGTTCTGACCAGGACAAGACTTGCACATATAGACAGACTGACAGAGTGTTTTTTATATAATCAACTTCCGGGACCTTCGTTTGCGGGGGTCTGATTAATATAATATGTGAACATGAAAGAAAATATTGTAAGTAGGAGTTGTTTTGTGTTGATCATAGTCTTTACAAAAACATTAAGATTTTGGATACAAATGAATTGTTTCTATTATGCCTTATGCTTTTGACTAACAGCTTTGACGTGTATAATAAAATGCATTTAATTAACTGAAACTGAAAGACACGAATAACTTATTTTTCAAAATGTGATTCAAAGAGATTGTGACAGACTATTGGCTTAAAAAGCTTATACTAAGACCGGCATTTCCCATTGTTTTATAAATTTCATTGGCAGTAGAAATATGGATTGTTCAATATCATTCCTGTTTCTAAATGACTGATTTAAATGTCCCTCGAATCAGCCGTACGTTTTAAACTCAATCAAAAGCTCAAACACATAAAACGAATGAAAAACAACTGTCATATTCCTTACTTGGTACAGACATTTCCTTATGTAGAAAAAGGTGGATTAAACCTGTTTTTATAGCTAGCTGAACCTCTAACTTGTATGACAATCGCGTAAAATTCCATTGTATTGACAGCAATGTGTTAGCAAAACAAACAGACACAATAGGTAAAAATGTCAAAAAGTGGGGTACAGCAGTCAACATTGTTATTTTCTTAATCACTATAAAAAACAAATACTATGTCAACAAAATGGACTAAACAGTAAAGGTTAGAAATGTACAAAGACAAATACAAAAACCTTATTACACGTAATTAAGATGATAAACAACGTTAGTACCTAGAATCTATACTTCAAGACCATGATGTATAATTTGTGAAGTTGTTACTGAATATTTATCAACAAGGTCTTGGTATCCTCCGATGAATTTTTTTAGAAAAAGGACGAGACGTTCTTTGACAATTGAATTATCAGGGACACTCAAAGTAAAAGGAGTGGCAGTACAGTATTTTAGTATAAGTTTTAACTCTTAGAAGTTATAAATGATGAAAATATGTCGCACATTCGTATTTTTTACCTTTGCATAATATAGTAGTGCATGCAAACTTTCCATTCCAGGATATAATTTTTTACGAAACTTTATAGTAAGAGCGCCACGTAAAAGGAGTTCCTATGGGAAATTGCATTGTCAATATCTACCGAAGTGCAACATATAGAGTTCTGTATGCAGGGTGGCTCCAGGACAACGAATTCTGAAGAATAAATGCGGAAGTACTATCTTTCTTAACTTCTTCTTTTCGACATGACCGAATGCGACTTATCGACAGATTTTTTAAAGTAATTTTTCTTTTGTTTTTGTTTTTGTTTTTTTTTTTTTCATAGTGTTTTTTGTACATTTTTGATACCCGATGATATTGTTCTACTATTTTTACACATTAGATTATAACTAGTTTTTTAATAACATTCTTTCTGAAGATGATTTTATTGTGACTTGACAGTAAGTTCTGGCGTTCCGTCTTTGCAGGTTGATAAATACTTTACCGATTTGCAGTTTGTAACATCAGACATGTCTAAACAATATGACCAAACTAAATATCATATAGCAAGACCTTGCTACACCAATACTTGAGCAAGTCAGCAAAGCAAGTGCAAAAATAAACTACTGTAAATTCACAAATTATAGAGTGTATTTATTATTGCGATTTTTGAAGAATGGACAAAAATGCGAGATTAATTATTGAGATTTTAGATATCTGTACTGTAAACCGGGAAATTTGCGCCTTCTTTTTCGGGATTTACCAACAAAATCTGAACTCGTGCCGTTTTGAATTCGCGATACCCCGATGTCCTACATAAATATTTCATAAATGATTTTGAAATTTTACAGTTGTATATAAATCAGGTGATCAAATCAATCGTGCAGGAATCTTTTTTTCACGCTGAACAAAGTTATTAGAATTCGTCGGTTTATTGATGTAAATTTAGATTTAAAGTTATTTATAGTCATGCTTGTAAAAACACATAGTACACAATAAACAGAGAAGAATTACCTAATTAAGAGTGAATTAAATGCCGACAGGATTACTGCTAATTAATTAAATCTTTGATCTTATTGTGCTGTCAAATATTTGCGGTAGTTCTATATTCGCGTTTCCACTCTTACCGCAAAATAGCGAATATAAATCTGCCGCGAAATTTTCCCTGTTTACAGTATCAGATATCAGAATGCGAGTTCTTATTATTGCGATAATCACCAAGTCGCATTATTCGAATTAATAAAAAAAAATAAAAAACTCGCAATAATTTCTGAATTTACAGTTTATAAATAAAGTGTCTTCATTATGTTTTCCATTTCGATTTGGACGATAAAAACTCAACAAAGATAACCGTCTTATATCTGGTACGCCAGACGCGCTTTCCGTCTACCCAAGTTGTACAATCTACGGCTAAGGCAACCTCTGCCTGGAGGTAAAAAAACTAACTATTTCGAATAATGCAGCATTTTATAAACAGTATTAAACTATACAGGAAATAAACATATCAATCATCGATATCAAATGTCAACACAAAAGGGATGATTACTAAGAGACTGGCTATACCCTCTGGAACAAAAAGTCCAGCAGCAGTGACATAGACCCAGGGGTTGTAAAAACTCATTATTGTAAAAAAAAACTTTCTCAATCCAACAAAATGATTATAAGTACAATGTATAAAGCTTAGGACAGAATATGCATTAAAAAACACAATGTGTTCAATATCAAATCTTGAACCTATACTAAATTAACATCATTTCCTCATTTCTGAACATTAAAACGAGAGTATGATACTCACTAATATTTCATAGAGTTGTTTTTTTACAAATCGAACATGACTTTTAAAGAACCAATAGTTCATGTCCTAGGATCAATCACATTGATGAGCATACTCCGTTTGTATACCCTAATAAGACTTCAACATCATAGGTTTAGGATAACGTACATTTGTCATTCGGTTCTATTTACAATATTGGGCAGGCTCGTCTGGCTAATATATGATTTAACCTTTTAGTATCATTTTGTTCTATGGAAGAGATACAAGATAATTCACAAACTAGAAAAGATGTATACCCAAAAAGCGTAAGGATGGCTATACAGTTTCATGAAATTTAAGTTCCGTAATTTTTAGTAAAAACTTGAAGAAAAAATTATGTAACAGTATCTGACAAGTACAAAATCACCAAGCTTGGGTGAGTTATTATGAAGTCAATACTCTAATGATGAAAATCTTAGTTATGACATATATTTTGCTAAATTGGTTTAGATGACATTGGGTACCTGACTCTTGTTAGGATGTGTATCTCACCCGTATACATCATTTTATGATAAACTTATTTTGTTCGAAGGATGACAAATGATTTTGAGGTTGAAATAGACCTTTATCATACATTTAAAAAGGAAATGTGACAAAAGAATTGTAAATATTAAGTCTTGGAGGTTATCAACAGAAAGCAGAAAATAAGTCTTATCTATCTTAATTTGTTAAGATAGTAGTTTTTGGTATTTAGACATGATATTTAAAAACATCCAAATTAAGACCTTTTTGGTTTAGACAGCAGAGGTAAATTGTTTACAAATATGAATATCTTGGTGGAACAATACAAGTATTGTAGTCGTGTTCGTCGTCTTTATCAATTCTTTTTAGATTTTCATAAGGATTGATTTGTCCGTCTCCATTTTGTAATACGGTACGTTGATCACCTTCGTCTACAGTACCTCCGGATTCTGTTTGTTCAGCAAAGTTTACCATCGACAAAGAGTCTTCTTTTTTTGGTTTGCGATAAGGATATACTTCGTTGTGACTGTCTAATGATTCATTACTGAATTCACCTTCACAGCGTGCAGGACAACTGTCTGACGCATCGATATTACGGATACTCACAATAACGGATGCTTCGGAATTTGTCAGATCTTTGCTTCCATTTTCATTCATACAGGAATCAAGATCAGAACTGTTTTGATCTTTCTGTGATGTTTCACAATATTCTGGTGAAGAAATTTTATGCAAACTATCAGGTTCACTATTTTCTTTTGACGGCAGACAAGGATTTAGGTAAATGTTATCGTCAATGACTTCCAAGTACGATCTTTCAGATGTTAGAGAATTATGATCGGAATTGTTTTTATGAAGATGTAATGCTACAACAGACAACTCTGTATGTAGTTTTGATACATTTGGGATCATTTCACTTTCGCAGATGGATTCGTAATTAGATGAGAGATCTTCGGTATCTTTAGACGCATTGTTTGCATTTGCATTTACAGTTTTGTTTAGCTGCACATTCAAGTTTCCTGTTTTGTATTTGTGGATAATACATATGTTACATGTTACTGATAAACACAACACTAAGACAAGACCACCTGCTAACAGGCCATAGTACACTAGCTTTTCATTCGATGAAAAACCTGTATAAAGAAAACAATGATCAAATTAATACAGTCGTGGTTTGTCTCTGTTGTGCATCAAAATTTTCTACATTATACATTATTAGATATACCATGTACAAACACTAGCAGAACGCATATAAACTGCAAAAATATAATCCTATTCTATAATGCAACTTAGTTCAATATTGTATTAAAAATACATAAAATCCTATATAGATAAAAAAAAAAAATACATCATTAGGTTTTTGTAGACTGTTGTTTGTCTTTTCGTCGCTTTATGTTTTTGTCATGTTTTCGGTCGCTCTTTGACTTTTGAGTTTATATTCTCCCTTTCGTATCTATCGCTTCTTGTTTTTGTTTTTGTCAAGGAAAATATTTAATACATATTATAGATAAGGTGTTTTAGTACCACTACATAACAATTTGTCTTACCTGTTTCTGGTCTATTTGCATCAATGACTTCATTGTGAATGGTTGTTGATGGCTTGATGTCTTCATATATAAGGGAATATAATAGATCATTTGCTTAAATCTTTAGTTCCTATCGCATAGAAGTCGAAGCGTACAAAAGCACATTAAATACCGGAGTTCTGATGAATATGTAAATCGTTAACGTATACCGTTTTCTACTTATGATGAACTGCTTATGAAGTAAATATATGCAATATGATATAGAGCCAACTATCTCTTTATGAAATTCAAAGACAATAATTGACGATTAGTTTGATACAATATAATTACTTAAAGCTTGAGATTCGGCTTGACGTTTCAAATATTTGCAAGTTTATTTAGCCCTACACATCCAGTATGTTCCGAACGATATTTCACTTGTAAAGAAACGACAAAAAATTGGAACAATAACTATTGATATATGGAATTTTGAGGAGCCTGGCAAAACATTTTCCTCCTCAAATTCATTACCTCAAAAAAATAAGATATTCCGTACTTTATTGTTCAATTTGCCCAAATATGACCAAATATATCAATGCTATACTACGAGGGATAATAAACTTGAAATTCACATCATCGATGAATAGATATCAATACCTTGCGTTTTAATCAATTAAATGAAAGGGCAGTTTATATTAATGAAAATTGGAAAGTACTGAGGTTGAACATGAACTAATGAATGATTTATAACCATTAGGAATAATTGTTCACAAACAATTAACTACATTAATAACTGTGAGTATTTACATCTGTATACAGAATATTGTATTTAAGGTTTTCTTTCGGATATTGTTTTGCAGAGATGTATATAAAGCTGACAAGAAATCTATTAAATAATTGTGTAAAAAGCCCCCCAAAAATATGATTGAAAATACCAGACTGAAAAGAATTGAGATGCAAAACATAAACGCTTTTATTGCGAAACAAATGAAAGTTTTCAATGGAGACATATGCTATTGGTCAGTCTATTTAAACTTTTGTCAGTTCTATTGTCCCATTTGAATAAATACAATAGCTATTGTTCTCTGTGTAGTTTATTCACTGGGACCTTTAAATTTCTTCTAAGAGAAATCCATCACTCATTGATTAATTTACCTGAGTAAAAAATTTTCTTCTAAATAGATCTTCTAAATAGACGAAAAACAAGAATGTGTCCATAGTACACGGATGCCCCACTCGCACTATCATTTTCTATGTTCAGTGGAATCTGGGGTCAAAACTCTAATTTGGCATTAAAATTATAAAGATCTAAGTTTCAAGTTGATTGGACTTCAACTTCATCAAAAACAACCTTGACAAAAACTTTACCTGAAGCGGGACAGACGGACGGACGGACGGACGAACGGACGCACAGACCGAAAAAACATAATGCTCCTCTACTATTGTAGGTGGGGCATAAAATGTTTCAACTCACAAAACTGCATGTGATGTTGCATTTAAATGGATATCAATAATATATTTTCAATCTATTCTTTGTAAACACTGATCATGTTGAATCAACCATTAATATTTGATTCCTGGCAAAGTTTTGAACATTGTCCTTATTGAGATTTTTTTTTTTTTTTTTGTGTGTTTGACATAAAAACTGGAAAATGACGATGTTTAAATAAAGGCCTTTCTTAAATGTATTCTATTACTAAACAAAAACAAAAAAATGCAATTTATTTCAATAGGAACAATGCTACAAACTTTGTCAGAAATCAACTTTTTATGATTAAATCATTATTTATATTGAACAGATACAGTTTTGAGAGTTGATGCATGTATTTTCATCTAAATTGTACGTCTTAGAAGATAATTTTTTTTACTCATGTAAATTTCTCTTAGAAGAAATTTAAAGGTCCAAGCGAATAAACTACACAGAGAACAATAACTGTTGTGTTTATTCAATAGGACAATATAACTGACAAAAGTTTTAATACCTTGACCAAGAGGATATGACTCTATGGAAATGTTTCATTTGGTTCGCAATAAATAATTTAAATATACAAACCTGTCAGTCTTTGAGTTTGCATATCAGTAGTTATAACAGTTTCACTCAAAGTATTGTAAAATGATCCTTAAAATATATTAAACAGAAATGGTATATAGGAACCGTATTGAACTTGCATTGACGTGTGAGCTTTTGTTCTGTATTGAAGGTCTTGTTGTGATTTGAAGTTGGTGAACAATAATAAAAGCGGGGTTATTTCGCTAAGGGTTTTGTTAAGTGTTTTTGAAAATTTTGAATCACGAATACATACACCATATCCCTTCGTTTTCATTGTGTACCTTTTACATATAGCTCAGTCACTGAGGGACAAACGTAATCTTTTTTTTCTCACTTTTTAAAACTTTTGTATCAGTAATTGTGCTGCTCTTTATTTATCTCTAAGCCTTTTCATAGAGAATGTAATGGTAAGATGCCAACTGAAGTGCGCAAGACGTTTTTCTGGAATACCATCCATTAAGGTAGAACAACAGACAAATTCAGGAAAATGTTTAGTTATCCTATTGAAATATCGTAGCTATAAAATATAAAAACAAAATAAAATCACCACATTTAAAGGAGATTGCAAAGAAGCATTTCCAAGAGATATTCTAAATCCACCATCAATAAATGTTTCTAATTGGACGAAAATTGAAAAAATTACATTGTTTTTATTCTAAAATTTTACATCAGTACATAACAAAGATGCAGCATTTCAAATAAAAAGGGTTACATTTTCAAACAAATAGACTGTTGTGAAACTTTAAGAGTAAATTTAATCATTTAGGCCACACCAATTTGATTTTTAGTTCTTCGGACAAAAGCTCCAAAAAATATGGGGCGAGCGAGCGAAATTTTTTTTTATTGTATTTATTTCTTGAAAATGAGTTTTGTTGAGGCGGGTGCTCTACAAGTGGAGCGAGCGGTATAATTTTTTTTTTTAAATTGTGCGATTTAGAATATTTGTACATGTTAAAACTGGGTTACTTCAAAGAAAAAGGAGGATAAACATGCTCTTATGCATATAAATTGATGTATTTGTGCCTGTAGTACAGTCTGTACCATACCCAACTTTTTGGTTCGCTTTGGTTTAGTATAATGTTGATTATTTTCGTCAAATAAGCTTTGACTGCGTGAATTTTCATTTAAATTCATACATGTGTATATATTAAGGAAGCATATCAGATGCAGTTTAGCAAGAGGAATTATGTTAGTTAGGTAAATGAAATGTGTTGAATACAATTGAAATATGTGTATACATTCCAAAACAATGCTCATGAAAAATATTAAATATCTTTTGATATAGTTGTTTTCATTATATGGTAATGATTGTTTATTGGCTGCTTGACATCCAGTTGGAACTACTTATCCATAATAGGATCAACATAATGAGTGAGGTGAATATTTCAACAACATCCTGAGTAAGATAATTATATTGCTATGCATGCAGATCTCAATGTATTAAAACATTTAATCCCGCTGCAAATGTTTGCACCTGTCCTAATTTAGGAATCTGATGTACAGTAGTTATCGTCTGTTTATGTAGTTCATACGTGTTTCTCGTTTCTCGTTTTTATTTAGATTAGACAGCTGGTTTTCCCGTTTGAATGGTTTTACACTAGTAATTTTCGGGCCCTTTATAGCTTGCTGTTCGGCACTCATACCACATCTTCCTATAAATATTCCCTTAAAATACATTTAACCACATTCACATGCATTATTCTGACTTAGCAAAATACTTTTTCCTTTTGCCCCTGAAACCTGCAATGTATTTCAAACTGGAAGTGGTTGCACCAATAACACATCCCTAATTATTATTAGCATGCCAATCCCAATACCACCACTTTGGTCTCGAATGTTGGAACTCTTAAATTTTCCCTTACAAAAGAGTTCTGATTGCATGTCAATAGACTAACAAGGGGATATGGAGTTTTCATTAAAATTAGATAAATCTGTCATTTTTCAAAAATTCATGTGAATTTAATATTAATTTCATCCAAGACAGATAGCTCTAGATATCTATGTCTGTTGTAGTCCGAGATTACTCTGACGTCCAACGGCTGCTTTGCCAGACAAGCTGGGGCCGTGGGACAACAGCCCCCCATCTTGTCTGGCAAACAGCTGTTGGACGTCGGAGTAATCTCGGACTATGTCTGTTGAAACAATGATCGGGGATGACAATGGTTCTAACAAGTACTGATGTGATCGTGGTCATCTAACGAAAGATTTTTTATTTTTGTCTCCTAGAACAGGTAAAACGAAATGCATTTCAAATAACTGTGTGTTTAATAACTACGTGTCCTCGGCAATGATCTGACACAACTTCATGTTGGCATCCCGATTTTTGACCTTTTATTTACAAATCGATTTATCACACGTGCGTTTGAATCGCTCGGAGCAATATATGCACGATAAAAATGTCAAGGATAAACTAATTTTGGAGTGGCATGCGGCCCAAAAATTGGCGGAAGCGGTAATTATTTTTTTTTATTGAAAAGTCAATTTCTCCAAAACAGGAGCGGGAAAATCCAAAGAACTATTAATCAAATTGGTGTGGCCTTAACCTGAAATTTTGATTGAAATAATTTGTGAACTTAATTTCACTTACTTGTTGTTATATTTTGAGGCTCTGTTTGGGATGTGTGATCTGTTATAGATTCTATAATTGTTGTAGTAAGTACCTTGTCTAAAAATATATGAATATTTGATATTCTATCAAAAATTCAATATTTCAATCATAGCGCACCATGTAATTCTATCGAGTTTCCAACATTATGGAAAACAACGAAAGCCTACAATATCATTTACTGTGATTGGCGGTTGATATGTATGTGAATACTATGATTGGCGGTTGATATGTATGTGAACTATTTTTTTTTCGATGAAGCCTGACTGGTTGAGGTTGATCGTCTTCTAGTTTCCATTTAAGACTTTATCAAATAACTGTGCCGTCAAGATGAGTTTTTTCTTCGATTTCTAGACTATAGAACGCAGTCAAAATAACACAACCTATTCGACGTTTGATATATATTGGTGTAATCATCTCCTCCTACATGTTTCAGATAATGTCCTTCATAAGTCACATGATGCTTACACACACAATGAAATAATGAACCTGATTGTTCGACTTTGAAATAGATTGAGAAATAATTTTCATTTTTCCGGTTTTGTGGTGTTCATTGTAGACAGTATACCAGTTCTTGTTTATCAACTGCTCTTTCATGTTCAGGTCAAATCTCGCAGGATGTGAAAAAATGTTTACCATGGAGAAATTTGAACTTCTGTGCTTTTTTGATAAATTTTAGTCCTCAACCGATTTTAACTCTCGATTTCTAGGTGCAAATCAAGATGTGATGTATTAAACCTAGTAATTTGTGTGGGATTATTTATTTTACGTTCAATGAAACAATGATATTTTATGAATTTCACTAAGTCTGAATCACTCAGTGAAAAGATATCATCTATAATTAAGTTAAATTAAGAAATTGTCTTTTTTTTTTTTTTAGTTCTTTAAGTGAAATTTACGAGAAATCGACAAGAAAAAGAGTACAAGTTTCTATTGGGTGTCGAATTTCTGCCCACTAAACAGCAAATTATTCAAAGAGAAATAACTAGAAGTATCTATACCTTTAGTAGTATACTCATCTGTAACTCGTGTGTCATTGATATGAGCTGTCAAAATATGTAAAAAGTTTGATTTCAAAAATATATTTAAAATGTTCTAGAGTAAAACATATAATTTTGAAAAATATATATTCATAACATTCTTTAATGATCTTTATAAATATAATATCTTTAGTTCACGAATGTTTAGTATCATCTAATTAAAACCTATTTACAATTTTTTCACTTGGGTTGAAATTAGATACGGCATAATAAGTTTTATACTGCACTCTTTCTATTTGAGCAGTCAAAATGCGTTGACTGTATATTTCTATGTCGTATACAGTCACTGACCCGATATCCCTTTTCCTCATGAATATTTAAATAGTAGTTGCCGAAATTACATTTAATTATTCATACGACCTCTTCAACCAGACCTTGTTTCCAATGTATACAACGAAGCGTGGAACGACTCACACTTATTTCTTGTACAATTGTTGGAAAAACATATTTCACTTGTTAATACTTTTGGTTTTAAACCTATAAATCATTATGTGTTATGCTTGTTGATGATATTTAGTCCATACTCAAACGAATTCGTTCACCATCGATTGGTCTCAAAAGGTAATGTACATTTCATTGTGTTGTATATTTCTCCGCCAGATGTGAAGCCTTTTTAAAGGGTTTTTTTTTCCAAATGTTTAAATCTTTAGATCAAGTAAATAACAATAACACAATAAACAACAATGGAAAATGTTTTTTTTCTAGATTGCAGTATAAAGACAATAATAGTGTACTGACTTGACATATCAACGATAAAAGGCTTCGGCCCGAAACGGGGAAAAAGCTCGGCAGAGCCTCGCATTTCCCCTTTTCTAAGCCTTATCCTTATATAGTTGATATGTCAAGTCAGTACACTATTATTGTCTATATAAATAACCTGCCAAGTAAAAACAATTAAATTAAATTTTCATCACGTACTTTAAGAAAATAATATGTGTTGAAGCTTTATCGTTAAGATTACGTAAGGACATATTTAGACATGTCAAAGCAATGAAAGGGACAAAAGAATTGTCTGCATGTAGGGAAATATGTATTTATAATTGAACTCTCTCAGGTAAAGTTGACCTTATATGAATTTGGCTATAATTTAAGTTCCCTTTTGGTCTTTTCACGTATTTCGGTTCTTATACATCCCTGGCTTTCAAATATTTGGCTATGAGCGTTCCTGTTTATCCAGAAAAGCGCTCTAGATGCAATACAAAAATAAAATATTATTTCTATTTTGTTATGTGAACTTATGCGATACTCCAACTCATGGTGAAGTGGTGTCATTTACATTGCCTACAATGTGATACTTAGTACCAGTCTAAAGCGTTACATACCACATTTAGTCAAAGTTGTGTTTGTACGTGCTTTGCGTCCGCTTGTTGAAAGATTTTTTATGACTTTTTTCAGAATATTCTTAAAATTGCGTGCAAAGCAAGACATTATAATTTTTAGTGGGGACATTTACAGTTACATCATACTATGTATGTCCTAAATCATTTTGTTTAGATTAAAGCATTCAATAATGATTTTTAGTTTGCTAGATGAAATTATTGAATTATTTTTACGTTAAGAAAGTGGTGGGTTAAGATCATTGCAGGGGTGTGTTTTTTCCTCCTTGCTTGATGGTAGGTTTTGAAAATTTAAATGACGCAAAAAATGAATAAGCAGACAAGGCCAAAGCACTTCAGTGTTGTTAAAGTTTAAATTTGATGGTTAAAAACGTTGTAATTCTTGTTTTGTTCTGCTTGTATGGTTTTGTATGGTTGACTTCAGCCTTACCCTTGCGTAGAATTGTACCGTAAACAATAAAGTTGAAGGACGTTTATGTTTATTTACTTACATTGCAATCTAAGTGTCACTTTTGTCTGTTTAGCAACGTTGTTGATAAGTACCTCGCACCAATATAAACCAAGGTCCTCCTCCGTTATGTTTGAAATTTCTAAATTGTATTCCCCTTTCATTGGATCTCCAGTTATCCTTAATCTGTCGTGACCCTCCGCCTCATTGTTCATAACTAAACCAGCTGATATAAAGGAATCTTTTCGTCGCCATAGTGACGTTAATGCTCCCGAATTCTGACATTGCAAGGTTATGGTCTCCCCAAGATTAACATATTCTGCCTTAGTATGTATTCTTCCTTCCACAGAGAGAGCAACTTAAATTGATCAAAGACTTTTTACGAATTCATTTTGCAAAATAATTATATTTTCATATTTATTTGCATGACAAATGGAAGCATAATTTAAAAGTGATTGCTTTTGAAAATATTTTAGTGGATTTATCTTAACTGACCAACACTGAAAATGTTCAGTCTATATTGCAATGAAGCAACAGAGTGCAAAAATCTTCCGTAAATAGCCTCATAAATAGAAATACTATTAATCAATAAAATGTGTATATTTCTATTTAATACTTGGTCTAGTACATTTTAGGTTGAAACCACGTTCTTGTTTAAACTCGGGGTATTTTGTAGCTTACTATACAGTGTGGGTTTTGCTCATTGTCGAAGCCTTGCGGTGACCTGTAGTGGTTGACATCCTTGTCATTTGGTTGTCTCATCGCAATTTATACAAAATGTAGCACAACATCATATTCTTTTTATATTCTGTGACTATAATTGACTTTTGAATAAAGATTTAAGCCGACGAACCGATTATAACTAGCGAAAAAGTATATTGTCCATGCCTATCCATCCCAATGAAATATTCGTTTCCTCTCTTTTATGACATCTTTTTCTGTATTCATCTTTTCAGTTGATATCTTGACAGCTTGATTGTTTTGAATCTGTATGAAATATTTGTCACTGAACGTTAAGCAAACAACAAACAATCTAACGCACATAGTCCTGAATACGTATGAAAATTTGGACGTTAAGGGATTGTAATAAACTATTTCACCCTAGTATAAACCGCTACACAGTTCTTTTGTAGATTTCATATAATAACGTAATGCACACTATTTGTTCTTAAATTGTTTCATATTCTACTCTAAGTGGTATAATATATCGGAGATACGCTAGTTGAACTTCAACTTGTATTATTTAAGAAATGAATGCTTCTCTTTGTAATTTTATTGGAGTATAAAAGTGTTGACCGAATCACATTTTGTATGAAGCGCGGAAGCGCTTCGTTCAATAAAAAAATGTGTGCACAATCAACACTTTTACACCCAAATAAAATTACAAATAAGAAGCATTCATTTCTTATAATTACATTATGTGCTAATAAGAACATGAAATAAAGTTTTATCAGGTTTTTCTTTTATTTATCTGTGCACTTTGTTTTGGATGAACGTGTCATCACGAATGTAGCATTTCATTTTGATATATGAAGGTTAATTTTTGATGACCAATCAAACTAGTCTAACGAATTCTCGTGAAACATACATGTAATGTAATTCTTAAGATAAAACACAATATTAAGGTCTTAATAATAATAGGCAGCAGATAACGCTGAAGACTATCTAACGTAGCCAATTTTACACATGTTTGCACCCACCTTTAGTTTTTTTTTTTAAATTCCCTGTCAAGTTCAAATTCAAACCGGACAGCTTTCGTATACATTTTCTGAATAACTTGATTTTTGAGACATTAAAAGTTATTCTAAATTGAAATAATTTGTTCTTTTCTTTATCTTTCTTATATCTTTTAGGTAGCAGTTATCATTTTCATGTTTTCACTCTAAAGTATTTTTCAATTATATGTTTTAGATATCTAATTTAGAAATTATTGTTCAAGTTACTACTAGTTGCAATCTTTAAAATTGTAATTGACAAAACATATAGGGTAAAACCTAGTTCTGAACCTTTAAATACGTATATAATTTACCCTTGAAATATATATGTGGCTGATTTAACATTTAGTAAAATATATTTACATACCATTCTGCAAAGCAACCAAAATAGACAACAAACATGCTTTCATTCTATCGTTTATACATCATATTCTAGTTTCTACAAAAAAAAAACCAAAAGGTGCTTTTAACTCACCTTTAATACAATGCAAATTTTAGAGTAGATGGATGTTTCAGTTCGAATTAATAGCATCAATGCTTGAGGAGACGCGAACTAGCCAACCAATTTAATAAAAAAAAACTAGAACTATATAAGCTCATGTGGTACAACGGAGAGTTGCTGTGGCTGTGGTCATAAAGATCCGTTTGCAAGGAAGGAATTTTTTAAGAAAACTTTTGCATTTGGGCTGGTTTTGGACTAAAATGAAGAAAAAACACTGCACAACTGAGATAAAAATATTTAAAGTTATATTTACCGGTATGTCAAATCTAAAATAATGATTTGTGTTAATTCAAGAGTTATGGTAATAGCCTTGTCAACATGATTTCGGTAGGGTCTCTGTGGTCGATTGGTCTTAGAAGTTCATCTACTGTCAACACTGAGGTCGTGAGATCGACAAATCCCGCTCTTGGCAGGTGTGTTCGACTCCTATATATCTTAATTGACAAGGATTGCCACTTTTCCTGCCGAAAGTTACAGTTGGTTGTTCTCTCTTGATACTCCGGCTTCAATAAAAACTGGCCGCCACGAAATAGCCAAGAAAAGCCGAAAGTGGCGTTTAACACCAACAATCATTTAGTCAATGATGGTCTCTGCAAAGTTGAACAAAAATACTGTTCAAAAACGTATTAGTTGTAAACAAAAGGATAATTACCTGAAATTATGACTTCTAAATGAATATATGATGGATTTTTAGCATGTTACATTTTGATGGATACTTTTGAAAATTATTTCCATATAGTATGTGAATTCCTGTTACGCAAACTCTATTGATTTCCTGGCCCCATGAAATAACAATAGATAGTTCAATATTCCGGAAAATCCATTGACATGTTGAGGAAATATTATTTAACACATTTTAGCAAATAATAAAGTTTATACATTGACAACTATTTTTAACTTTTTTTTATTTTCATCAATAGTCATGCAAAAGTATGATGTATAACTTTCTAAAACGAAATAATTTATTCTACACGTACGCGTTGGTCACTATTTTATAAAATGATACAAAATTTGACTAAATCTTTCCATATGTATTTAAGTTTGGAATAATAATTACTTGTGAAAAGGAGAGAGAAGTTAGCGGAAGATTCGGGGGAGGGGAGGGGGTTCGTAGAGTGCGTACGCCTTTTTTGACTGGAAAATATATCATTTTAAGCATAAAATCATCAAAAAAAATCGCAATATGTATACTTTCTAGAACTACGCCCCCTTTTAAAAATCCTGGATCCGCCCCTGGAAGTTTTATAGTATTGCACGAGAAAAGAGACTTAGATTGTATGTACTCTAACAAATCTTTGGTATCAGGCCCATATAGAATATGGAGTTTCACAGCAACATTGAAGCTCAATTTCAATTTCTGCAAAAAAAGATGTTAATAGTTTACAGAGAAGTTTCGTGCAGCATTTGATAGACTCAGCAATATAGCGTTGTTTGCAAGGACATTTATGTAATTTGGGTACCTATTACACGGGTAATAACGTCCGTTTAGTACAGTGATTTTGTCAAAGTTTGGTTAAGTTGGTTATGGTTCATTTATGTTACTTCCGAGAACGATTGGCTCATTTCTTATATTTCAAATAAGCTATAAAAAGCAAATAAGATGTTTTAATCTATATTGGTAGTCAAACGATCTACATTGAAATTGTTGCTTGTAGGAAATTAGACGGTAGGATAACCAGAATATCGAATTTGATATGGTTTGGTTAAGCGATTGACATGGTTCAGTTAAGTGTCTAGAAATTCGTCATGGTTTGAAACAAATTGGTCGTGGTTTAGATCCTAACTAATGCATATTTGTTTCACCTTGATATTGATAGTTTGTTTGAAGGCGTTTGTGAAAAAACGAAGTTACACAATTAACCACCAATTGACTTAGAAGAAAAAATGCCTTTTTTAACAAATTTAGTGGGCGTAATCGGCAAACCGTACATTATACATTTTTACTGTTCGTGTGTTTCCTAAGATAGATAGAATATATTAACTGCTCTTTTTAACTGGCATTCGATCAAATAAATTACAAAAACAGAAAGCGTTGCTTCTGTCTCACCTGAAACTTTTCTCCATATGCCCATGATGGACTCTGCCGGTGATATCGTGAGCGTCGTCACTAGTCAAATGGTTAAAGACGTCAACTAAAGTTGCAAAACATAGCAGCTAATTTTTGTTTTATATTTTTTTTTCTTGCAAACTATACATCTGTTGTTTTTATTTTGAATCAGATTATGTTTATGGTTAATAAAAAGAGATGTGGGGGTTGTAAGCCAATGATACAGTAACTACAAAACTAACCAAACGATATCGAGAGGTCACCATTCAGTCTTCAGCCCTCCACGGGACAAAATGTTCAAAATGGACAACAGTTAAAACATTTTTTAATAAACTATAAATGAAATTACTATTAAAACTACTTACAAAGTTCCGAATTTAAATATATGAAAGCTCAAAATTTCGAATTTGAATTAGGTCGATATAATGTCCATTTTATCAATTATTATTACGAATGAATACAAATGATTATGTTTTTATCATATTGTATAAATGACTGTGTAGTATCACTTAACCTGTTTAAGTTTTCTTCTTTTATGCAATTAAGTTTCGATAATATCAGTAAAAGTTCTGTCGATCTAGTATTTAGGACGCAAAATTGTACATCATTAAATGTGATTGAAAAAAATAATTTAAATTCCAAGATACACGTGTTATTTGTTTGGTACAAGAACATTTAAATTGTGTACAGCCTTATTTTTGACCTGACAAGACAAGAAACCATCGTTCGTAATAGCAGAGAAAAAGATTGATGAAGATGAATGTTGGCAGCAGAATTCCATTCTGAAATAAAAAAAAAAAAAAAGTAACGTAAATATTGTCCTGGATTTATAATTTTTTATTAGTTGTTAGTGGCTTGGAACTAGCTTCCAGTAAATGCGAGTACTCACAAATCTGTTCTTTCTGTCTTTGTTGTTTATGTTACTTGATTATTTTGCTTTGTATCGATCTGATGAGTTAAGTCCTTTTCAACTGATTTTTACATTTATGTTTGTTTGTTCTTCTTTGCGTTGCTGTTACACATCTGCCCAGGTTAAGGCGAGAAGATGGTTAGGAGCACGCAAACATATTTAACCCGCCATATTCGGTATGTATATGTCCAAAGTCCAGAGTCTGTAATGCAGTGGCTGTCGTTTGTAAATGTATATCATATGTGTTTTGAAGATAAATTAGGCGTCGGTTTTCTCATTTGAATTGCTTTATATTTAATTTGTCGGAGTCTTTTATAGCTTTCTAAGAGGTATGGGTTTTGTGTATTGTTGTAAGCGAGATATATTGCCTCGAAATAGGATAGAATGGGTTAAACGCGAGAGAGAAAAAGGTATCGGCGAAAATAATTTTTGAACAGTATTTCAATTGTTGTATAATTTCTGTTTATTTTGATCGTTACTCTTCCATCATATCCCATAACTGAACCATGTCGAACATGAACTAAACTATGACATTACTGAACCAAACCATGGCACCGTATTTTCAGTAATCTTCATTTGTGTGCAAATGTAGCTATTTGTCGGAATAATTGACGGCAGTCTTATATCACAATGAAATATGTGATGTTACAGACAGTAAACAAATCACTTTTTTATGCATGAGAAAAAAATACTCAACTTTTAGATTTTGACATACGCAAGCATCATTCTGTGTCAAATTATCAACTATATGATACAAATTTTAACGGACTAACATATTAGCTATATACAAAGATACTAACCAGCTTGGATTTATGTTCAGAAGTTCCGTTAGCAAGAAATCCGAATGTTTATATTGTGTCATTGTTTGTCATTCAAAATACTTAACACAATCATGATCAACTAAACCAAACTATGAAAAAATCACTGTACTAAACGCTCATCGATATGACGACGTTACTACCCGTGCATTAACAGTGAGGGAAGGTCCAGTTATTTATATTTGATCGGATTTCAAAGGAACATAGAACAAAACTATGATTATTTTTAGATTGTTTCTTTGGTTACACAAGAATAGGATAAAATATACTCTATTCCAAATTAATGGGACCCACAAGGGGCAACATGAGATTATAACAATAAACAATTAAACAAATACAAAAGAAAACTACTGAGGGAATGAGTTACTTGATTGATAAAATATAAATGAGACAAATAAAAATATATCTTTGGTTTTCAATTGAATTATTTTTACATAGTTCTTTTATTCAAGAAGTTTATGTGATGTGATTTACAACGAAGGCGGTATTGTTGGGGGCTTTGTCTGTGAGGACAATTACATATTTTTCATGAAGATAGGACAAGTTAAACACTATTTGAGTTTTTGAAGATAGATGTAAAAAAAGAGGCAAAAGACACCAAAGAAAAATAAAAAATCTTAGATAGAAGAAAACCCGAAATTTCATGGCAACAAACGATAGTCCACTAAAAAGAAAACTTAATACTGAGCTAAACGAACTCCAACAAAACCAGTCAGTATGATTTATACAGTGTTTAACATTAATTGTGGTTGTATTTGAAATTGAATTAATATAACATTTGCTATCCAATTTGAAGTTTTACTAACTGATACTGTGAGATACTCCCCAGATCATTTGTTTTAACAGGTTCGTCCATAAGCCCTGTTAAGGTTTTAATGTGGCGTTCATTTTGCTTAACTAGTATACATTATTGTTTAGGGACCATCTGTAGCTCGCCTTCGGGGCTGTTTTCTGTTCTTTGATCGGGTTGTCTGCTCTTTGAGACATTCCCTGTTTCCATTCTCAATTCCATTTAGCAAATATTATCTTTGTACATTACAATTTATTTTTAGCTCATTTTTATTTTGATCAATATCTAGCCATGCAGCAGAGTATGATTTATCTCATATTTGTATTTACGTTTGTCATTTTTTTACTAAATGAAACAAAGCTTGACTAAGTCTTTCGATCTGTTTTTAAGTTTAGAATGAGTATTACTTGTCTATGTGTGTTTGCGCGAATTTACCTGTAGTTCATTTGTATATACAATATCTATATATATAAAGTATATCAAGAATTGATTTATATAGTATAGCTTACTATATTAATTCTTGAGTAAATTTACTTTCAGTAGAACCAGTACAATTTATTGTTATCACTATTTTGCTCATTTTTCCAATAGAACACACTTTATATTCGCTATTTGTTATTTTTCTACAATTGAATATTTTGACGTTGCATCTCCAGGAAATGATTCCATTTATTAACTCTTTATCTTCAGGTAACGTAAATCCATCAAATATCAAAAACTCAAGTTCCCCCTTTGCTTGTCTCTGGGATGGTAATCTCTGTCTTCAATGTCGATTTTCAAATTGTCATTCCAGTGGATTTTTTTTAATTTAATTCTCTTTTGTTTTATTTCATAATTCATCATATCTATTTTAAAGATTTGATATTTTGAGATTTTCCAATCGTTTTTCAAAGATTGATAGCCTTCCTGGCAGACGAATTCAACATACTGTGGAGTTATGAAATTGTCGCATGTATGAGGACACTATAATTTTCATTTATTTGCGACTTCATTACACAGATGTTTCAATATGATTCTATCGTTTTAATTGGAAGACATGCAACAATCAGGTGGTTTTTAAAGTAATATTTTATATTCCAATAAAATGACACACATCCATGACTGTACACTGGTCATATGCATGCTCTCAGTGACAACGTCACAAAAATATGTTGGACCATTTAAACCAAAAACACAAAAAGACTCTTGATTTAAAATATACTAGCACATTATTTCCTGTTTTAAGCATTAAATCTTATCATAACAAATGAATGGTATGAAAATTATTATTGCATGTTTTACATCTCTTCAGCACTGACCAGATTTTACGGTTGCAAATTTTTAAATGTCATCTGTTATAGGCCGTCTTATTAGAACTTATATGAGCATTTAGTGGCAGTTTTTTTATGTGCTATATATAGTAATTTACTTGTTAAATAATTGTTTATTACATGCTTGTTTTACATGTTTTATTTGTTACCGTGTTACTGTATTCTAGTATGGTTTTATATTCTGTAAAAATCTCATCACAGTTAATGTTTTGAAATGTTTATCAATATGCCGAATCAAAATAAAGATTTACCTATACTTATACTCACATTACTTTAATACAAGTCGGCTGTGGTTATGAAGCGCTTTTGCGCACTTGGCGAACTAGTAGTCTGAAACTTCTAAAACTCGGCGGAATCTAGCAATATATAATCTATTTCTATATAAGCCTCTGACCATTTTCTATTTTCAACATTTTTCCCCTAGAAGATCCCAGAAAGTGGGTGGGTTTTGAAAGTGTGTGATGCACCCTCTTGTTCCCCACCTCATCCTCCTTTTTGCACCGGGCTCATATGCCTTGTTTTTTTGTTTTTTTTTTAAGTGTCATAATTAATAAGAAATATACATGCATGAAGTTCTGTTGTTTTGGTTTTTTTTTGTCTCATTTATGATTCATTTATATTTTATCAATCAAGTTATTCTTTTCTTTTTTTGTATATTTGTTTTATTGTTTATTGTTATATCTCATGTTAAAAATTGCCCATTTTGTGCGAATTCGGGTCCGTTCTCCCATAATCACGTTCGCTCCCATTCTCGTTCGCCCCTTTTTTAAGGTTTTGTGTTGAATAAGTTTTTAATCGTGCTTTAGTTAGTGTATTGCTATAAAATAAAGAAAATAAGGTTTTTTTTATTGTTTTGAAATGAAATAAAGTGACATTCTAAAAACGTAAACAGGTTTTCTCTTGTGAATTATTTTGACGAAATGAATAATGAATATTGTTATGATGATCAAAGACTAAGCCATTCGTCTCTAAGACTTGCAGAAGATTCCAAACGGCTATCAAACGCGTCACAAACTGCTAAAAATAACTATATCTTTCATTTTTTCATTACAACATGTACAAATATTCATTGTTTTTACTCCTACCAAGATAATTACTTGTAAGTTTACTTTACACCAACTTGTGACCTGGGACTATAACAGTATTAATTACATGTAGTATAATAGTCCCAAACCGAACACATAGTAACAATAATACCAAACCAGCTTTGTAAATAAATCTTGAATAAATCACAATTAATTGATCATCTAATCACAAAAAAATATTGCATTAAAAAAAATCACGAATTTTATTCATGAAAATATTGATATTTTGATAAAAAAAAACATCTCCTAATTCAACCGGTATTTAATCAAAGTAGGGTGCGAACGGACCCAGGGGCGAATATATGTGGGGTGCGAACGTGTTGGGTGTGAATGTGTTTTTAGAGCGAACGGACCCGATATCATTTTGTGCCAATTAAAATATATATTCTATTCTATCTTTATATGAATTTATAATTTGACTCGAGGAGAGAGAGAGAGAGTGATTTTTTTGTTCGACTCTATCCGAAATGTTCATGTTATTAATTTGTACGTTCGTAAACTATTTTGAGGTAAAGAATTTTCCAATGTTTATTTTTAGGTTAGGGACTTTCCTGAATTGGGTCTCACTAATTAGCGACAAGAAGCGTCAAGAAGCGACAAGAAGAATAAATTTAGCGACAAGAAACGACAAGAAGACTATTTAGCGACAAGAAAACTTAAAAAAAATATTATTAGAATAAATATATTAAAATAAATATGCATTGACAGCAATAAAGAGATTTTCATTTTTTTTATTATATTGATCTGAGACTACTATAGTAGTCTCAGTATTGATAGATGAAGAAATTAATGAGTCAAGATAACATTTGGAGGTTTGCCTGTTATCTGAACAATTTCTTTCAAAGAATTAATATTGATGACAGCTTGCATATATCATCAGCAATATTTTGTTTGTTAAATAGGATAGGTACCTATGTATTCTGCTATTGCTTTATTCATGGTTTCAAGAGAATGGCCAGGCATTTTTTTCGGACCAGCTGATTATTTTCTTGTAAGAATTACTTCTTTTCATAGAAGCATAATGACGCTTAAGGGTGAACAAATTAGAATCATGATTGGAGTAAAGGACGTGTGTCCCTTATTGTATTGCTACAATAACATTCAATTAACACCTATAACTTTGTACACGCGTCAGACTATACAACTACACGCGCCAGAATATACAATAATTGCAAATAGTGAGCAACTGTTGAACACTCAACATTGTCTTTAATTACCTTTAATCTTCAATCAACTGTAAACTATGCATAAAAATCATGCATATCGTTTGATAAGTCAATTACCCAAATAAAATATTCACGTTTTAGTAACATTATCTTTTCTGGACACTGATTCACGTATAATGCATTTTGCATGCAATCAGTTTATTATATTTTAGACAAAGAGAGTGTTAAAAAATTTATAAAATAAATATATTATTGTTCTAAACTGAAGAACATGTAAAAATTAATATCATACTATGACAGGGAAATTTCTATATTTCTATATTTATCAATTTATTTAAAAAAAAAAATGAAAATCACTTTACTTTCCGTATATTAAAAAATGTCAATGCATATTTTTTTAATATATTTATTTTAATAATATTTTTATTAAGTTTTCTTGTCGCTAAATAGTCTTCTTGTCGCTTCTTGTCGCTAAATTTATTCTTCTTGTCGCTTCTTGACGCTTCTTGTCGCTTCTTGTCGCTAAATTTCTTCTTGTCGCTAATTAGTGAGACCGCCTGAATTTAAGACACTAACGGACGGAGGAAAATAACGACAGACCTTCATATTCACATTAAACTGAGATGCTATCTGCTCTCTCCCAGACACGGAAAAGGACCATAAAACTGTAGACAGGTAGAAAAGGTTAGAAACATCAGGGACATGTGTATTGCATGTCTCTGGACATATGCAGATGTAAATATTATTATTTTTAAACATCGAATGTCTCTGTCTTTTTTTCTGAATTGTATGGTTTCAGCCACATACGTTCAGTAATATGGATAGTCGATCTTAATTCCCATCGATAGAAACAAGTGCCTGTGGTTTCAGCGTTTTTAGCTGCATTTTTTACATTAAATACCATAAAATGTGCAGTATTTAGTGAGGGTAGTAATGCCCTTTACCGTCAGGCGTTAAACGGTCATTTACGGTTACCGTTAGCGTCAAATTGGTTAAAATTTTACCGTGATTCGTCAAAATATCCTTATCGTGATTCGTCAGAGGTCTCAAATAATTATCCTTATCGTGATTCGTCAGAGGTCTCAAATAATTATCCTTATCGTGATTCGTCAGAGGAATCAAATAATTATCGTTACCGTTATTTTTGGAAAAAAATTAACGTGATTCGTCAAAATCAAGCGATTGTTTTATCGTCTAAAAGAAAGTGTACATTGTCATGCACCAAAAATTACTGTTAACGTCATTTAGCAAGAACTTTACCGTTATTCGTTATGAAGGTACACCCATTACGACCCTCTTTAATTAAAGACGAAAAGGTTTCACACTAGCAAGCTAGTTCAATCCTGCCATTTTCTGTATGTGCCTGTCCCATGTTAGGAGCCTGTAACTCAGTGGTTGTCTTTTGTAGCTATATTTGTGTCTCATTCATCACAATGTTCGTTGTTTTGTAAATTAATCAGGCTGTTCTGTTTTCTTGTTTGAATTGTTTTACATTTGTCATTTTGTGACCATTTATTGCTGACTATGCGGTATGGGTTTTGCTCATTGTTGAAGTCTGTATGGTGAACTATTAGTTGTTAACTTCTATGTCAATTGGTCTCTGGTGGAGAGTTGTCTATTCATGAAATTGAGGTTCCTACAAAATATAATTTCCAAGTAAAAGAAATATTCTGTAATATTATTTCCAACAGAACAAATATTACTGCATTTGTTCCTTAATATGGAATAAAGGGTATAGAATATTTGTACCAGCAGGAACATATATTTTAGGACATTGTAATTTACAGTCTCATTGGCAATCATATCACATCTTAATTCTTATTTTGATATTGTCACTCATATCAGATCAATACAAAGAAAAACCAACAACTAACAAAAACACTAAAGACATTCACAAAGTACCATTCTGTAAGTACTCACTGTTACTGAAAGCCAATACCAAGCCAATAAAAACTAATAAAAAAATCATGTATCCAAGACAAAAAATTAATCAGTACACATCCAATGGATTTAGTGTAGAAAACATCATAAACTGTCTCAGAAACATGACCTTTAGCAATTCCAAAATGTAAGTATTGTCAGATGTAGAACTTTCACCTTAAACCTTATCAATCATAATTATTTGAAATCTCATAGTTATTCTTTACAGATACAATGGATAAAGTGATACATCACCTGTTTCTTTTGAGTTTTATTGTCTGTGTCATTGCTAAAGGTAAGAATGAATCCAGGTAAAAAAAATTTGTTAATTTTATATTAGTAATTTTATAAACTGATAATTGAACTAGTATAATTAAGAAATAACTCATGGGTGCTTGAATTTATTGTGATTTTACCGTGGGTTGGCCCGTTATGCAGAATATAATACCATCAGCAATAGTGAGGGGTAAAATATCAGCATAAAGGGACAACCCGTGGTAAATCATTATAAATTCAAGCCCCCATGAATTATTTCTATTCTAATAGGACAAAGACAGAATTATTAGAATTGCCTAGTTGAAGGGAAATATTTGTTGTTCCTGTAATTGAACATACTATTAACATTGACATAAAATACGAAGAAAACTGAATAAAAGACATGCTTAAATTATTTACAATAACATACTAAGACCGGTTTGGACGAAATTGATTGATTATCTTATTTTTATTTAAGAAAATCATGGCTTTCAACAAATTCTTATCTTTGTTAATGTTTCCATGTTTTGATGACTTTCAGTTTCAAATATGTGCATTTTCTTGTAGAATGCTAATATTCTTACATCATTGTTTAATGACGTCATTTACACTGTCTGACTTGAGGTAACTCATTCATAAAAAGCAAATGATGTGGGAGTAAGATTTGAACAGTGCAAACAATTCATGAACTTGATAATCAGCTGTCATATAAATATATTCATGTTTTACCAAGAGTGTGTACTCAAAGCATTTGTAGAATGTCATGATATTAGAATTAGTTTTTTGGTATAACAAAAGCATGCATCTGCCATCAATAAAAATATTTTAGTAATAAGGTGTAATTGGTCTCTAGACTAAGGCATTTGCATGTTCAAGAGGGAAGGATATGAGTAAATTAAATAATATCAACGACTTATCTGAAGCTATAACATATATGAATACTAACCTTTTGCTGAGACAACTTCATTAGTTCATGATTCCATAATGCTCTTGGAGCACTTCATAAATTCATCTTAATGTCAATCTTGGATATAGGGATGTTTTGCTAGCATAAACTTTAACCAGCATGATAATACATCATAAAATTGAGTATTGAAATGGGGAATGTGTCAAAGAGACAACAACCCAACCAAAAGGCAGAACATCATAAAATTGAGTATTGAAATGGGGAATGTGTCAAAGAGACAACAACCCAACCAAAAGGCAGAAAACACCCCAAGGTCACCAGTGGGTCTTCAACACAGCGAGCTTCAGCTGGCCCCTAAACAAAAATGATGTGTGCTAGTTCAGTGAAAATGGACGTCACACTAAACTCCAAAACATATTATTAAAATGAACTAAAATTAAAAAAACATACAAGACTAACAAAGGCCAGAGGCTCCTGACTTTGGACAGGCGCAAAAATGCGGTGGGGTTATAAAACATGTTTTGTGAGATCTAAACCCTCCCCATATACCTCTAGCCAATGTAGAATAAACAAACACACAGCAATACGCACAGTCAAAACTCAGTTTAAAATAAGTCAGAGTATGATGTCAGAATAAGGTAACAGAAGAAACTAAGCAAAATGACAATGATACATAAATTAACAAGGGACTACTAGCAGTTACTGACATGCCATCTCCAGACCTCAATAAAACTGAAGTAACATATATTTTAAAGTCCTTCCATTAATAATTTTGACCTTCTTGTTTTAGTGGAATGGAAAGTAGAAGAAAAAATAATAAGATATGGAGAAGATTTAAGACTGCTTTGTATTGCTGATAATTATACTTTTGATGGAGTGGAGATTAAAAGATGGGAAGGAGGACCTAAGCAGAAAATGCTGACATTTAACGGGGCTCCTGATCAAGATGATGTTATGAAATATAACATGTCCATGCGTCAAGACGGTTTTGATTTGTTGATTAAGAATGTTACAGAAATTGATTTAAATGTGACATATAAATGTACTTTTGGATTTAAATCATCAGGAAAAGTTATGCTGATATCAGACGATGCTTTTGAAGGTTTGTTGAAAAAATGTAGTTTATATGATACCTCTCAAGCAATAAGAAAAATGTGAATTTATTGCAGCCATGTTTCCTTGGCATTGTATTATAAGTACTACATTTAATTAACGCTGTGTTATTAAGCTCTTTTGTTGTAAATTTAAATGAAAACAAATCTACTTTAAAATTATTAAACAGACTGGTAAACTGTAACAGTCGGTTAATGTACCAATCCAACATCATCTAGATCTTTCTATTTTTAACAGGAATATTTCAACAGGTCATAAATACTGGCATAACCCACTTTGTTCACAGCTGCGTGTCAAACAATACTTATTAATATTGACTCAGTGACTGATCTTATATACTGAAAGCCCAGTCATTCCGAAGGTTCGTCAGACATTGGCAAAATTGGGTTTGGTATGGTAAAAGTTGTTGCTCAACTGGACAAAATGTCCAGTCAATATTCAGAATTTTTTATATGAAAAAAAACAAAACGACTGGTAAAAATGGTCTTCTGTTCTGTGAAGTTAACTTTATTAGCTGGATTAAATGCCTGGTAAGGTTTGAAAGATCTTGGGAGGTACTGCTTTGAAAGCTCAAAGTACTTTATATTAACTTTCTTTTTTACACTCTAATATTGGCTACTGTGCTTACCTACATGTATATAGTATGAGCAGCACAGGTAAATAAAATATGGTCAAGGTTTTTTGTACAAAATGGAAAAGAAAGAAAAAAAATAATGAAAGAATAAAATGCTAAAAAATACAAGATGCAAGGATTTATAAATGTGTCAACAATATTATGATTATATTCTTTTCTGCAAAATTTTGTAGCCAAAATAGAATATTAATCACATTCATTAACTTTTAGTTTGCTTATAATCTTATCAGAAAAAATGTTTAAAAGATCCCAACTTATAGTGCAATCATAATATTATGTTTGGAGGCCTGTTCTATTTGGTACTTCTGCTGGCAAGCACATAGTGGTTGTAAAAGATTAAAGGAGATGATCAAGTATAAGATGTTATTTCAGTACTATATACATATATCACTTTTGAGCCAATGCATTTTCTGATTTTTTTATTATTTTCAGTACCGGTAAGACAGACTATGAAACCTAGTAAAATAGAAAGAAAGGGAGATAACACATCAATAATGTAAGGAAAAAAAGTGATAGTTTTTGTTTGAAATTTCTTAGTATTATAGATTCTAAAATATCTTATATAGTTTATAGAACTGCTCAGATGACCATGATGACATTTATTTAAAATTTGCAGAAGGCTTTTAAAACAAATAGACTTAAGCAGTTTAATGATTCAGCAAAAAACACAAGAAAGTAAAAAAAAGTTCAAGGTTGCTGCTGTAAAAAATTGTGCATTGTATGTACCGGTGCTTCATTGCTACAACATTTCTGGAAAAAAAGGATTTATATCATTCTGTGAAATACCTGAGTTTGTAATTATATTATAGTATGTGATATTTTCAAGAAAAACTATAAATTATAGTAAAATGATTTCACAATTCTTGATAGAACCATACCATAAATGATCCTTAATTATTTTCAGATGGTCTTTTTATTCGTTTGGCTTGTTAACAGGGAATTGTTAAATATTTACTTAAGGATCAAGTTCAACATTTGTTACCATACAAATAGCTATTGTATATGTAAATGAATGGCATGGTTTTGTTAAATGTAGTTTCAGTGATTAGTTTACTACTTGATGGATATAATACTCATTTTATTCAAGTTCTAACTATATATATATATATTTAAAAGTCAAGTCTGTTAAAAAAAAATCCTAGTGCTGCAATGTTTTAAAGAAAAGATATTGTAAGAGTTCTATAATCCCATCTATCGTGTTATATTAATATCTTTATTAAACATAAAATGCAAAGGTACCAAATTCATCACTGAAATTGTTTAAAGAGGTACTACACGTATAACGCTAAAATCATGTTTGTCTTATTCTAAAGTTCCTAATTAACGTTTAAGAATGCAAAAAACCCAATAAATTTTCATGTTGTAATTATCGAGATATTTGCAAATTACTGTCAGTTTGTCATTTGAACACCTGAATGATTTAGTAAAACACACCACTACAACTCACTACTTATACCCAACGGAAGTGACGCACAGTGGGTCACCCTGATCAAATATGTGTGTTATATCGTATGTAAACAGATCACGGCTTGCTAAGTAAAATAACAGTTTTGATATATATCGGTGACAATTATTACATTGAGAATATTGATATACATTTATCGAGGCTTGATAATCACATAAATATTTTAATTAAATGTTTATAATTAGAAAAGTATTGAAAAATCAAAAGCACCAATCAAACTTTTTTTCTATAAAATATTAACATGTGCATCCTAAAGTGGCGGTAGAAGCAGAAGTAGAACTGTGCATGTTATTTTCCATGGCGGAAAAACAGCATTCAAAATAGGACACTCCCAACATGTGCTTCCAAAAGACAATGGAGGGCGTTACTAGTTGATTTGTTTAATTAAACTATGTGGGTTTTTCTGAGCTACAAAAAAATAAAAGGAGTAGGCTCAGTAAGACCCCTTTTTGGCCCCAAAATATAGCAGTTTTATAAAATTGTTTAAATGTAAAATTTTTAGCTATTTAATGGAAAGAAGAATACTTCTGTTACATAAATATGGACTGTTTTTGACAATACAATGCACATGTATCGGGTACTAGCATCATTAAGTCATGCTAGATTACTGAAATCTTCGAAATTTTAACATTTTGGTTAATTTTTAGACGGTTTCCGTCTGAAATGGAAGTGGCCGCATTTGTGTTCATTCTTAATATTTAAATGTAAGTTGTATTTGATGATAATACATAACATATATAAAGGTTGAGAATGAACACGGATGCGGCCACTTTCATTTTTGACAAAAACCATCTGAAAAGTGACATATTATGGCATATTTGATAGATTTTTCATATTTAAGCTTGAATTTGAGCATCTTAAATGACTAAATCAGTTCAAATCTTTCACATAAACTAATTGAATCAACTGAAGTAGACACATAAGTGTTTAAAAAGTGTCCAAAATCTTTCATCAGATGAACCTGAATTTTGAGGCCAAAATCGTCCCTTACCGGACCTACTCCTTTCTCTTACTTACTTACCGAAGGACTTTAGTTACAGCAGCATTTCAAAATTATATAAGTTTATTCTCCAGATAATGTGAAGAATTGAGTACTGTCAGTCACAGTAATCTGCTTGATTGGTTTAGCAAAAACCTGAATATGTATTGATCAAGCTATTTCATTAAAAATAAAATACTGGATAGACTTGTAATTAACCTATACGGAGATTTAAAGATCATACAAAATTTTGAAATGGAAATCAGTATAAGTATTAAAATTGTGAAATGAATATATGCAAGTAACCAAAAAAATTGTAAAATTTTTCCTATGTTTTCAAACAAAACTAAACAAATACTGTGGATTCATTAGTTTTCGTTGGATACCAATTTTCGTGGATTTCGTGGTTACAGGTGAACCACGAAATTAAATGTTCAACAAATGACAAATTTTCTATATATATATATAGGCTTGTATGTAGACTTCATCAAAACCACGAAATTAAATATCCACGAACATGCAAGTTTTCGCTAATCCACAAAAATTTGTACCCACGAAAATAAATGAATCCACAGTAGTATGTGTGACTTTCAGGGGGTGTGCATTCCCAAATTACTTGTGTCTTAAATCCTAAATGTTATGATCACACCAATTTATTTTTTAAATAAAAAAAATTATACCATACTGCTTTTAAAATATTGACCTTTTCTTTCATTTGAAATTAAAAAGCAATGACAAATGAATAACCAAACAAGAAAAATATTAATCCTCTTGATCATCTTTTGATCCTGGTAATTAAAACAGTCCGTACTTTGACACCTACTGATAAGTAAACATCCTGTAAGGTAAATTAATAAAGATCAAACAGTAGCTGTTATCCCTCCACACAGGTAATTAACAACTTGGCCATGCAGAAATGCCACCTGTTGTTTATAAAGTGATAAACTTTATAGTTTGATAATTAACATTATTAAAAAGGTATTGCATATACCTGGTTTTTAACTTGCAATTATTATTTTTATTACATGGAACAGAAGCCTCTACCGTCATATCTTGTCAAGATGTTATGCAACTTTACGTACATGTAAATATAAACCATATTTTTTCTCAACTCAATAATTTTTTTTAATTAATAGCTAGAATTTAAATTATAGACCGTCTATTTGTCTCAGTTCTACGATCAGGAACATTGTTTTCAGTTGAAAACTCAATGTTGAATAACCCCAACCCCATCCCCCCTTTTTCAATTGAAACACATTATAAATACACGTCCCTTCTGAAACATATTTTGTTCCTTTTGACAAATTGGTCATAATGAAGATTGAGCCTTGAAGGGGTAGCGAAATTCATTGGCAGTGCTTTCAAAAAAGGATCAGAAGAAAGTTCATTTATTAAAAAACGTTTAGATAAGCCGAAGAAGTGACCCACAGTGTGTCACTTACGGTAGATTTGGTTTTGGTGCTGTTTCCGGAAGTAGCGTTGATTGGATTTTCCTAAGGTAAAAATAGTTGAAATTTACACGCTATTATCTCTGTAATTAGTGGACCAAATTGCATCGGGTTTTTATACGACCGCAAACAAAATTTTGGGATCGTATAATGGTATGATGTCGTCTGCGTCGTCGTCCGAAGACACATTGGTTTCTGGACAATATCTTTAGTTTAAGTGAATGGATCTCTATGAAATTTTTTGAGAAGGTTCAATACCACAAAAGGAAGGTTGGGATTGATTTTGGGGATGATGGTCCCAACCATTTAGGAATTAGGGGCCCAAAAGGGGCCAAAAACAAGCATTTTTCTAGTTTCAGGATATTAACTTGTGTATAAGTATTTTGATTGCTCTGAAATTGTGCCACAATGTTTAATATCACAGGTAGAAGGTTGGGATTCATTTAAGGGGTTATGGGGCCAACAGTTTAGGAATAAAGGGCCATAAAGGGGCCAAAAACAACAAATTTTGTAGTTTCCGGACAAAAACTTGTGTGTAAGTGTATGGATCTCTCTGACATTGTACCACAAGGTTCCATATCACAAAGGGAAGGCTGGGATTGAGTTTGGGGATAATTGCCCCAAACTTGTGGGAATTAGGGGCCAAAAAAGGGCAAAAAACAAGCATTTTTCTAGTTTCCATACAATAACTTGTGTTTAAGTTTATGGATCTCTCTGAAATTGTACTACAAGGTACCATACTACAAAGGGAAGGATGGGATTGAGTCTTGGGGTAATTGCTCCTAGGGGGGTTTCCAAAAGTTTTTTAAGGAATTCATATTTTTTTTCAAAAATTTTCAAATTTCAAATTTTTGAACAATTTAAAGAAATCTTCAATTGCGCTGTATTGGGCAATAGATTTGTAAGATCTTTGACCACATTTATTTTGTGTCAGAAACCTTTATTATGTCAAAAATTTGATCACAATCAAAATTCATACCGTATCAATCTTGAATATTGCATCCATATTTGCCCCAACTGTTCAGGGTTGGACCACTGCGGTCGTATCAGGCTGCGCTCAGCGAAGCATTTTATTTGCATTATTTATCAATTATTTCGAACTTTTAGATAAGAATTACTTGTTATGTGCATTTTAGTACCTCTTTAAGGATTATGATAAAGAATGCCAATTGTGCTAATAAAATAAAGATGAGAGATTAACATCAATGATTGAAGATCATTCAACACAAGAAAATACAAAAATTGAAGGAGAAAAAAAAGGTTAAAATATAAACATGATAGTGTAATGTGTATAAATGTTGCTACATGTATGTCCTGTATTTTTTTCAGTTATGTTATCCTATTATCTGTGTTACCGGTACTTGTTGTTGCTGTAATTGTCATCCTATTTACTTTACAACGTAAAGGAAAACTAAAAGATCTGAAAGACAAATTATGTGATAACAAGGCAAAAGCAGAACATAGAGGTTTGTGTTTTAAATGATTTATTTATTGTATAGGCAAGGATTAATGTTACTTTAATCTTGTTAATCATATGTGCCATTACATGTTTATGAATAAAACATAGCTAAGAAGGTGATTTATGAGCAGATTGTAACCCTGAGAAAACATTGTCAACCCAGGCAAAGCCTGCAAGCTTGACAATGTTTTTTCTTAAGGGTAACAATCTTTTTTATTGGTAATTTGTATATTTTTCCTTTGATGTGTACTCTCTGATAATGTCGGTATCAGTGGACTGGGTGTGATAAAAAAATTATTGGGTCAGTCTGCAATTGACATGCCCGAGTGCATCGCTTAAGGATCTACTTTCTCTTTCATTCACAAAAATCATGCGTGATACTTTTCACAGAAAGTTTTTTGGTGAATAATTCTTGTCATTGTTTCAGTAAAGTAAGTTATAGCTTTTTTGAACAATTTTGTCTAAATTGTGTGAAAATTTGAACAGAAAATGTACGAAAAAATCCATAAACTTAAAAAATGTGTGTTATCCGCAGTATTATTGATAGCTAACCTTACTATCCCGATCTGAGTTTTCATTTATAAGCTTGAATGGTAAATAGTCATATGCTGTTGAAATGTGTCTTCTTTTTCTGTTTCTTGTGAAGGATTTGTCAACCTGTTCAGTCACCATTAAGTGTTACAATTCATATTTAGATACAACACACAAATAGTGATCAAAAAGGTATCGCAATCGCATGAGAGAAGCTAAAAAAAAAAATGAATAAAGTATATATATACACTTTCAACATTTTTTGTGAGACAATCATATAAGATTAAGGAGATGTGGTTTCATTACTAATGTATAGACAGTTATTCATTGACCAAAGAACAAATTACAGGTTAAAATAGGACCTTCAACGTTTCAACGGTTCAGGTTGACATGACTTAAAAAAAAAACAAAAGTAAAAGTAAATAGACCAAAGTTGAGTTACATCCATTTAAATGTTTGAAATAATTATTAGGTCAACAAGAAATGAGCTTTCAGATAATCTACAGACTCGCTGCCCACACCTAAAAAATAAGTGTCTGCTTACACAGTGCTTTCCTTAAATGAATGTTATCGTCTCACTTATGAACGCCAGCGAATACCGACAAATTAGATTTTTAAGCAAATTAGCCATCTGAAAAGAAACAAGAAAGTAAAAAATTTACTTGAACTTCTAAAACAATGACAACTCTGCTGATTTAGATCGTATTATACTTTTCTATGTATAGAAATAAGGAAATTTGACGTACCGGTATGTTACCATGATATTCTGCATTGTTTAAGGCAATTGTTCAAAGGAAAAATAATGAAATCATGCAATATTTATTCATTTTCAATACGTTGTTTACTGCACTACGACAAATTTTCAAATGACGTGATGCAACCTGTGACGTCAGGAGTGATTCAATGCGATAAAGTAGTTTGTTTGTTATTTTCTCTTTTATTAGAGTGGTTTTCATTTTTTCATAATTAACGATAAAAAGAATAAAAGACTGTTTATACGACTGCAAAAAATTTTTGCGGTCATATATTGGTATGACGTTGGCATCTGCGGTGGCGGCGTTGACGTCGTCGTCATCCGAAGACACATTGGTTTTCGCACTTTAACTTTAGTTTAAGTGAATGGATCTCTATGAAATTTTACCATAAGGTTAAATACCACAAAAGGAAGGTTGGGATTGATCTTGGGGGTTATGGTACCAACAGTTAAGGAATTAGGGGCCAAAAATAAGCATTTTCTAGTTTCCAGACAATAACTTTTGGAACGGTGTATGGATCTCTCTGAAATTATATTACAAGTTTCCATACCACAAAGGGATGGTTAGGATTTGCTTTGGGGGATTATGGCTCAAACCGTTTAGGAATTAGGGGCAAAAAAGGGACAAAAACAAGGTTGTCCTGGTTAATGGACAAATACCTTAGTACAAAACATAATTTAAAGCAGTGTAAGGGAGATAAATCAAATACATCATTTGAATTACTTCCTTTACACTGCTTTTAAATTATGTATAAAGTAATGGTTAATGAACAATTAAGACAATTTAAAAGCAGTGTAAGGGAGGTATGGTCCAAATACAACGTTTTGATTACTTCCCTTACACTGCTTTTAAATTATGTTTAAAGAAATGCATATTTATAAAGGAAGACCAGTAAAAATATCTGCAAATGTTACATCTTTTTTTTTTTACAAAAAAAAACATATGAAAGATTTGACACCATATTATAAATTCTATTATAAAATAGATTAAGTTAGCACTATGGTAAATTTAAATGGGTAATTATGGTTGCAAACTCCATTGGAAATTTGAATTGAGATTATGACCATATCTTGAGGGAAAGATTTTTTTTTGGAAAAAGGGGGAGGGGAGGTGAAAAAGAAATTGTCGAGGGGGGGGGGGGGGGGGGTAAAAAAAGAAATTGTGGGGGGAACATTTTTTTTTCTTATTACAGATTTTGGAAATTAAAAAGAAAATTTCTTCACATATTTATTTTTTTTGCAAAAAAAAGGGGGTGAAATTTTTTTTTTAGGGGGGAGGGGGGGCAATTCGCAACAGCAAAGTGTATTGCACAAAATCAAAAAATTTAATATAAATTCAAATTATATAACCAGTTCTAAGTTCTTTGAATACAGTTATTCTGTGTCAGAAACCTATTATGTGTCAAACATATAATTTCAATCCAAATTCAAACTTGTATCAAGTTCTAATATTGTGTCCATTTTTGCCCCAACTGTTTAGGGTTGGACCTTCGTATCCAGCTGCACTCGGCGAAGCAATTTATTTAGATTTAGCATTAGAAGAAAAACAAGAAACAGGTTATTTTCTTCAACAGCCTTTTGTATCTTTTAGTCATCATTCAAATGGAGGATTGTAACTAGCAAGTTATTATCATATGATTTAATTAATTGCTACTTCTTCAACATCTAACAGGAATTAATGTTTTCAACATAGGTTTACTCTAGAAGCTTTCAGATAGGTTTGCACATTAAACATGTTTAAAGCTTTTTATAAAAATAGTTTCATAAAAATGTAATCTGTCAAATATTAGATTCTCTAAATGATAAGTATAGATTATTACTTGGCATTTTTCATATCAGACCCTTAATTGTCCCTAAAGTCATAATATCACCTGAAGAAGCGAAAGGCTCTAGGGATGATATTATGAACAAGGGCCGATGAGGGCTATGATATGAAAAATTATGTGTAATGATCTTTTTATCATATACTTCAGCAGTAGAAATACAGACAAGAACTAATTTTAAAACTCTGAAAAAAAGCATTTATTGTATTTTTTGCTTTGCACTTTTCATAAAATTGAGAATGGAAATGGGGAATATGTCAAAGAGACAACAACCCGACCAAAGAGGAGATAACAGCTGAAGGCCACCAATGGGTCTTCAACACAGCGAGAAAAATCCTGCACCTGGAGGTGGCCCTCAGCTGGCCCCTAAATAGAATTGTGTACTGGTTCAGTGAAAATGGACGTCACACTAAACTCCAAAACATATAAAGGAACTAAAATTAGAAAAACATACAAGACTAACAAAGGCCAGAGGCTCCTGACTTGGGACAGGCGCAAAAATGCGGCAGGGTTAAACATGTTTTGTGAGATCTAAACCCTCCCCCTATACCTCTAGCCAATGTAGAATAATGAAACACATAGCAATACGCACAGTAAAACTCAGTTCAAAAGAAGTCAGAGTCCGATGTCAGAATAGGTAACAAAAGAAACTAAGCAAAATGACAATGATACATAAATTAACAAAGGACTACTAGCAGTTACTGACATGCCAGCTCCAGACCTCAATTATACTGATTGAAAGATTATGTCTTCATCATATGAAAATCAGGTACAATCCCTCCCGTTAGGGGTTTAGTATCATACCATCATAAAATATATGAGAAGAACATAACCCGTATCATGCCAACAACTGGTTTTAGAATAAATGTGTTTATTTCTGATGCAAAGACCCTATGAGTGAATCAATATTAATACCAAAATATGCAATCCTTAATGACCTGACAACAGTATTGTAACTATATCCCTTCCGAATAAGTCTGTTTAAAGGTTTGGTTAGCTTTTGAGGTGAATGCCAACATTTTTGTGCTTTGTAAAGAATATTACCATAAAATATTGGATGTGAAATACCTGAATGTATAAGATGTCTGCATGTTGATTTATATTTACGAATGATGTCCTTGTACCGATGATAAAATTTAGTAAATGTTTTGACTAGTTTGTGATATCGAAAACCCTGGTGTAATAATTTTTCAGTAATACATTTTCCTGTTTCCTAATTTTTAACCGGATTTTCAAAGGAAATATCGGTTATTAAATTGAGGATGTACGGCGGGTGGTCGGGCTGGCTGGCGGATGGGCAGGCTGACGGGCAACTGCCAAACAGTGTCTCCACAATAACATGAAAAAGCTTTAACAAATTTTGTTCAAATTTATATATGTTGTTTCCTGGGACTTAATGAAGGTCTAGTTCAATTTTCAAGATTTTAGTATTTCTCCTTTTTGAGTTATTATTTGAAAATTTTCATTTCCTCAGTGGTGATAATTATAAGCTATATTATTAGACATTTTGAAGTTAATTACATTATTAATTATTAATTAGATCTGGGTTATATCTTAGCATATGATAATCATTGGAGTGACAGATTTATTTGAAAATTTTCTGTTTCCTGATAAGATCTGTAGGACTGTATATATAAAGTTTGAAATTTACTGTTCATTATTAGACATTTTGTAGATAATTAAGTCTCCCTAAACCATATATATTCTTACCCCCACCCCCCTTCAATTTGAGAATGTGCTTTTATCTTGTAAACGGTCGAGATCCCCATTCTAAATCATATATATTCTTGTATGGGACAATAAAACAAATCAAATGAAATATAGGGGAAGTCCATGGGGGTAACCCCCACCCCCCTTCTTTTTGATAACTTGTAAACAGGCGAGATCCTCACCCCTAAACCATAATATATTCTTGAATGGGACAATAAATCAAATCAAATGAAATTGAGGGGAAGTCCCCTGGGGTAACCCCCACCCCCTTTTTTTTGAAAACTTGTAAACGGTCAAGATCCCCACCCTGAAACCATATATATTCTTGAATGGGACAATAAATCAAATCAAATGAAATTGAGGGGAAGTCCCCTGGGGTAACCCTCACCCCCTTCTTTTTGAAAACTTGTAAACGGTCGAGATCCCCACCCCGAAACCATATATATTCTTGTATGGGACAATAAAACAAATCAAATGAAATATAAGGCGAGTCCCCTTGGGTCACACCACCCCCATCCTGTTTAAGAACTTGTAAACGGTTGAGATTACCACCCCTTAACCATATATATTCTTGTATGGGACAAAAAAAATCATATGAAATAAAGGGCGAGTCCCCTGGGGATCACACACCTCCCCCTCTTTTGAGAACTTGTAAACGGTTGAGATCTCCACCCCTAAACCATATATTTTCTGGTTCGTAATTTCAAGAAGATTGGAATGACATACAGGGTCAATCCATAGGCGTCACTTATGCATATCACAAACCAATTAGTACTGGACTTTGCCCAATGTCAGGCGACCATGGGAATGACAAATTATTGGAGCTTTGTTTGGGAGACTTCGTAACAGCGTCCTGTTACGCTTAATTCTTGTTACTGATAAGTTTTGTAGATTTTGAAAAGACATTGTATTATTGATAAATAAAATTTTGGATTTTTTTCTTCTTTTCTTTGGTAAATTGTTTGAAGAATTTTGTGGCAAGTTTGTTTGTTATTCTTTAAAAACAAATTTTCTGAATGCTATATATTTGTTTTTGATGAAGTGAACTCCTTTAAAAACTAAGTTTATATTGTCTATTAATAAACATATATTTAGATTTCTGATTTTGGGCCGTTTTCAAGTTGGTCCAAATCGGGGTCCAAAATTAAACTGTGTTTGATTTCAACATAAATTGAATATATATAGGGTTCTTTGAAATGCTTAATCTAAACCTGTATTTCTTTTCATTATTAATAAGATAATACCACTTTGAGGTCCAAAGGGTCCTAAATTAAACTTTTGTTTAATTTCATCAAAAATTGAATTCTTTGGTCCTTTGATATGCTGATTCTAACAATGTTTGAGTGTTAAATCATATCTAATTTTAGAGAACTTAGTCATCACTGGTTGTTGTTATTACATTATTGATTATAATTTGAAAAATTGCATCATATCTTATTTTAGAGAACTATTTATCCAGTTTGAGTTATTCCCTTTGCACAGAAAATATTATGGATAAAATTAACCTGTGTTTCATTTCAACATAAATTAAATATATATAGGGTTTTTTCAAATGCTGAATCTAAACCTGTATTCAAATATTAGATTTTTTGGCCCAGTTTTTAAGTTGGTCCAAATCATGTATTGAGAGATTTTGGATTTTGGGCTCCTTTATCAAATTGGTCCACATTGAGGTCCAAAGGGTCCTAATTTAAACTTTTGTCTGATTTCATCAAAAATTGAATTCTTGGGGTTCTTTGATATGCTGGTTCTAATATCATGAATATGTACTTAGATTTTGGATATTGGACCATAATAGGTATTTAAATGTCCTGATTTATATATAAAAGCAAATAATAATGATATGGTTTGAATAGGCAAAGTAAAAAAAATTTAAGTTCTTTGACCACATTCATTTTGTGTCACAAACCTATGCTGTGTCAAATATTCAATCAAAATCCAAATTCAGAGCTGTTTTAAGCTTTAATGTAGTGTCCATACTTGCTCAACTGTTCAGGGTTCGACCTCTGCAGGAAAATCCCGTTTGCTGTCACTCTGACAGCCTCTTTTTATTTTTTATCCTACTTTGTTATATGTTTTACTGTAAAGCTACCATTGAGGTGTATTTTCCGGAATTTGTAGTGTGACGTCGAAACACCATGCGATAACGATATGGAAAGGCATGCGATAATAACAAGAAGCAGATAATAAATTATTCATATAAGCCTGCTGTAACACCATTTCGGAGAATAAGGAATTCACCTAAATTCAATGTTATTATCATACTGTAAATGATATAAGTTATTTACTCTAAGTATATGATAAATAAAGTTATTCTTGTACCTTAAATGGAAATTACACTTTATAAATTATGTGCATCCGAAGTTCTTTTTTTTTAAGGTTTTCCTACATCAAAACTGTTAAAGGGAAAACATTTCAAAACGAACAGATATATAAACTGACACGATTTGTGTGATAAAAGAAAATAAAATGACTAAATAACATTAAAAAACCAGCAATAAAGTTTGAAGTGTTGTTCTATTTTTTATTAGGAACAAGTGTTGCTTGGAAAGCTGAAGAAGATGCCTCATTACTCCCACAGCCAAATGAGGGAAATTTAGGTATTTGATCTTTGCATGTATACATGATATGTATTTTATAATTGTCTCTATTGCAATGGAGTCATGAATTTGAGACTTAGACATACTGTTTCCAACATAGTTTTCAGGATTCAGTCACTTTAAAGGGAAACCACTTTTGATAAGTCAATGATATTTGGTATGCAGTTACCGGTATGTATTACCATTGACTTATCTCATTTTCATGGAGATGATTTGGCCTTTTGACTTAAGTCATGGTTCATTGACCTTTCTGAATTTAATTCTGTTGCAGGTTATTTTTTTAAGACCAATCATTATCAGATATGTCATTATCGGTATAAACAACATAGGGGGTTCTTATTCACATTATATCTAAAGCATGCACTTTGAGTAGATTGGGTGTCTTCTTCAATCTTGGATTGTAAAATAGCAGAACACAATCAGTCTAGATCTTTAGTAACATATACAAATTTACAGAGAGGTAATTGTATACATCATTTATTATACTTTTCATCTAAACAAAGACATTTATATGTTTTATCTATCTTATTATTACAACAGTATTAAAAAAATGTTTTGTATGATTCATTTTTTAACTTTGCAATATAAGGGGAGATAAATAAGAAAACTTTAAAGAAATGTGTACAAAATTAACCTATTTTGTTTTGAAGCAAGAAAACGAGTCCCTTGACCCCAAGATTTCTTTTTATTTTCTGAAAGCACAATGTTATAGGAATTATCTTCTCATATTTTATCTTACAATTCTATAGTTTAGATTTTTTTCTCTCCTGCAAAATTGGGTATTCCATGTATAACCTATACAAAATTTGATTATTTTGCACAAACTGTAGCTCCATGACCATACTTTTTATTATATTTTTGCAAATTATTACAAAGTTCTATCAATTTCCTGGTCAACCTTACCATCATTAAATATTGTTGAAAATACAAAATAGCTAGTAAAACCTGCTATAAAGGCCACCTCTATTGAGCAAAAACCTTTCTGGTCATGTGACCCTCTTCTTGACAAGCTGTAGTAAGACTTATGCAGGCTGGCTATTTGAAAAGGATGCTATTGAATAAAAATTTACAAAATCAAAAACCTTGGTTCTGTTGTCATGGTGGTATACATTATTTGATGATTTTGCATGATTTTATTTTGCCTTAAAATATCCTAAACTCTTCATGCAATGTTAAGTATTTGAATACACATCTGGTCCTTATAAATCCTGTATATGAGGGCCAGTTGTATTTTCTGAGAAAAGATTTCAAAATTATAATTACCATATCAAAGCTCCTCTCAACTGAGTAGCCTAACTGACTACTAGTACACAAGGAGGGTAAACTGGTCTGTGTACATCAGATATTACAAATATGTTTCAAAAGCCAGAAAAACTGAAAAGAAACAAGATTTTAGCTAATTTCATTTTATGTATTAAACATGTTTAAAATAAATGATAATAGGAATTATCAAATATTTAGGATAGTGCAGCAAATCACACCAATTATCATTTCCTCTAAGGAAATAGACATAAACAATAACAACCTGAAGGAACAACACATTGCCCAGATAGTCATAAAATGTGTTTGGGTTAAAACAGTTAGTTTTACATCCCTATTGATATGACAAATATATGTCATTGTTAAAAAAAAGATGTGTTTTATTTTAAAGAAAACATAGAAGATGTTCCATTTGTTTCAATACAACCAAGCCAGCCAGAAATTATAACAGAAACTAATATAGTAGAGCCAAGTAACACAGAACTTGTTGATGAATTCTCCAATGATGCCTCACTTAAAAGTGTTACTGTTCCCAAAGACCCTGCATCATGTACTTTCACAGAAGTTAACGAATGTAACTCATTTCCTCAACTGCAAATTGGTGGACAGGAAGGTATGTGCACTATATGCATGTATGATATTATGATGGATAAAACATGCTATTGTCATTTTTATGCTCCACCTAGGGGCATTATGTTTTTCTGTCTGTGCTTCTGTTCGTCCGTCCGTCTGTCCCGCTTCAGGTTAAAGTTTTTGGTTCAAATTTTTGGTCAAGGTAGTTTATGATGAAGTTGAAGTCCAATCAACTTGAAACTTAGTACACATGTTTCCTATGATATGACCTTTCTAATTTTAATGCCAAATTAGAGTTTTGACCCCAATTTCACGGTCCACTGAACATAGAAAATGATAATGCGAGTGGGGCATCTGTGTACTATGGACACATTCTTGTTTTTTATATAGTTTAATGTTTTCTTGCTATTATAAAAGTCAAAATATGGAAATGTTATCCATTTGTTCTATACAAATATATCATGCTTACAAGGGGTATTTGCCAAAAATACCAGTTGAGAGGTAAACAAATTTCCAGAGCCATGAGGGAAATTTGTTTACCTTGAAACCGATATTTTTGGCAAAAATCTCTTGTAAGCATGATATAATTATTTAATTCCACCAAATGCTCTTTGTATGCATCTCAATGAAAAGTCTAGAGGTCTTCAGAAGTCGTGTTATTTGTAGACATGGTATTGCCCACCTGCTGTAATATTTGCTAGCACATGGAATTCCCTAATGACAAATACACTGGTAGAGAACAGAAAATCTCAATATAAGGAAAATTTGTGAAAAATACCATTTCTCTCATCCAATCAAAATACAGCTTTATTACACAAGGTGGAATTAAACATAATATTGCATAGAATTTATGTCCAACAAAAGCACAAATAATATATATAATACTGCCTTTAACCAAACAAGAAAGAATGCTAACAAAATCAAGTGTATTTTATGAATTATGAAAAAAATGCTTTGCATATCTGATATTAAATATGTTTTTTTAAAATCCCAAAACACCAAAAATATTGTTGCAAGTAGCAAGTTTTTCGCTTATTTTACAAGTCTATGCCTTTTAGTTGAAAGTGTACATATCATTGTTTATTCATTTTTTTTATAGAGTGTCAAGATGTTCCAGTTGTACCTATGACACCTCATCAATTAGAACTACCAGTAGTAGCAAGTGTAACAGAAAGTAAAACATTGGAGCCATGCATCACTGACCCAAATGGGGAATCAGTTGATGAAACTTCGCTTAAACATGCTAATGCTGTCGGAGACCCTGCATCCTCTCTGACAGCAAGTGTTCCTGATAGAGGTTTCCAATATAGTATATTAGATGAGCAAGAGAATAAAAAGCATACACCTGCTCATAATAAATATAATGCAGCATATAAATGTCCAAATACAAGAGAGAAAAGCTTCAAGTCACAACATTGCAAATGGACTCTCTCACAACCATCCATACAACAAATGGCCAAAGCTGGATTCTTCTGCAGTGGTATGATTTATCAAATTGATTGTAAATTTTATATATATTGCTCACAAGAATCACTGATTTTCGGACAGTCATACTTTGAACAAAGCAAGGTACCAAACATTGCAAACAAATAGGAAATATTTTTAATGGTTAAAATAATTTCATTAACCTTAAGTCATCATTGTTTAATATTCACCAACCTTTTTTTAGAATATCATAAAAATGAATTAATTTGGTAATAGAATAAGTGAGACCTATAGTTTATTAGTTGTTAATTTCTGTGTCATTTGGTCTCTTGTGGAGAGTTGTCTCATTGGCAATCATACCACTTTTTATTTTTATATTTACTTGCACAGATCTTTATAATTTTGTATGGTTGGATAAAGGGAAAGTAATTTTGCAGTAAGCTTGCAACAGGATACTTTCAGACTTTTTTTGTCAGCTCGGTTCTTTGATTTGAAGAGGGCATGGCAAACTTCCCAAAAACTAGCATACTCTGCCTCTTAAGGGAATGTAATCTGTCTTAACTTATTATAATTCTAGTTTATATGTTTTAGGACATAAATCGAAAGTCCAGTGCTATTCCTGTGGTAAAAGGAGTGATTGGCAAGAAGGAGATGATCCATTTGATGAAATCTTTCATGAAAATTGTCGACATCTGAAACACATAAAGGGAAAACAGGTTTGTACTAAGAATAAAATAATCAGAGATATGATATGATGTAAGGATTAAGTGCTTTGATGAATCCCATTTTCAGCTAACTATGTCAGACTTTTTTTCAAATTCTCCGAAATATTGGACAGTTGAACATAGGTTGACCACAATCACTCTTATGATATAAAGATGTGGTATGATTGCCAATCATTTATTAATTTGGATAAACATTCTTCAAAAATATGATTTACTTTTTAATATAAAAACTTTCTAAAAAGTAAAATACCATATTCTACACAACTGTGTACTACACACGGCTGAATATGCTAAACGTCTCGCATGTATGACAGTCACATAAAATTCCATTATATTGACAACAGTGTGTGAGCCAAACAAATAGACATAATACTTAAACATGGAAAAATTCTAAAGATTAAAGGGAGGGTTTAGTTCTCACAAACATGTTTAACACATTTATGTGCCTATTCAAAGTCATGAGCCTGTAATTCATTTGTTGAACAGATATAGATGGTTGCTGTCTTTCATATTTGTTTTTCAATGATTTTTATACGACCGCAAAAAAATTTTTGTGGTCGTATATTGGTATGACGTTGGCGTCGTCGTCGTCCGGCGTCGTCGTCCGAAGACACATTGGTTTTCGCACTCTAACTTTAGTTTAAGTGAATGGATCTCTGTGAAATTTTACCATAAGGTTCAATACCACAAAAGGAAGGTGGGGATTGATTTTGGGGGTTATGGTACTAACAGTTAAGGAATTAGGGGCCAAAAAGGGGCCAAAAATAAGCATTTTTTAGTTTCCAGACAATAACTGTGGAACGGTGTATGGATCTCTCTGAAATTATACTACAAGTTTCCATACCACAAAGGGATGGTTAGGATTTGCTTTGGGGGGTTATGGCTCAAACCGTTTAAGAATTAGGGGCAAAAAAGGGGGGGAAACAAGGTTGTCCTGGTTAATGGACAAATACTTTAGTACAAAACATAATTTAAAGCAGTGTAAGGGAGATAAATCAAATACATCATTGAAATTATCTCCCTTACACTGCTTTTAAATTATGTATAAAGTAATGGTTAATGAACAATTAAGATAATTTAAAACAGTGTAAGGGAGGTAATCCAAATACAACGTTTTGGTTACTTCCCTTACACTGCTTTTAAATTATGTTTAAAGAAATGCATATTTATAAAGGAAGACCAGTAAAAATATCTGCAAATGTTGCATCTTTTTTTTTACAAAAAAATCCATATGAAAGATTTGACACTATATTTTAAATTCTATTATAAAATTGATTAAGTTAGCACTATGGTAAATTTAAATGGGTAATTATGGTAGCAAATTCCATTGGAAATTTGAATTGAGATTATGACCATATCTTGAGGGAAAGAATTTTTGGGGGGAAAAAAAGGGGGGGGTAAAAAGAAATTGTGGGGGGTCAATTTTTTCTCATTTCAGATTTCAGAAATTAAAAAGAATTATTCTTCAAATATTATTTTTTTTTCAAATTTCAAATATTGAAAAATTTCAAGAAGTAATCTTTAATTGCACAGTATGGCGCATTAGATTTGTAAAATCTTTGACCACATTTATTTATTTGTTATGCCGAATCTAACCGTGTATTTAGATTTTTAATTTTGGGTCCAGTTTTCAAATTGGTCTACATTAAGGTCCAAAGGGTCCAAAATTAAACTTTGTTTGATTTTAACAAAAATTGAATATATGGGGTTCTTTGATATGCTGAATCTAAACATGTATTTAGATTTTTGATTTTGGGCCCAGTTTTCAAGTTGGTCCAAATTGGGGTCCAAAATTAAACTATGTTTGATTTCAACAAAAATTGAATATATGGGGTTCTTTGATATGCTGAATCTAACCATGTATTTAGATTTTTTATTTGTGGACCCCACTATCAAATTGGTTCATATTGAGGTCAAAAGGGTCCAAAATTAAACTTTGTTTGATTTCATCAAAAATTGAATTATTGGGGTTCTTTGATATGCCAAATCTAACCGTGTATTTAGATTTTTAATTTTGGGTCCCGTTTTTTAAATTGGTCTACATTAAGGTCCAAAGGGTCTAAAATTAAACTTAGTTTGATTTTAACAAAAATTGAATTCTTGGGGTACTTTGATATGCTGAATCTAAACATGTGTTTAGATTTTTGATTATGGGCCCAGTTTTCAAGTTGGTCCAAGTTGGGGTCCAAAATTAAACTTTGTTTGATTTCAACAAAAATTGAATATATGGGGTTCTTTGATATGCTGAATCTAAACATGTATTTAGATTTTAGATTTTTGGTCCAGTTTTCAAGATGGTCCAAATTGGGGTCCAAAATTAAACTTTGTTTGATTTCAACAAAAATTGAATATATGGGGTTCTTTGATATGCTGAATCTTACCATGTATTTAGATTTTTTATTTGTGGGCCCGCTATCAAATTGGTTCATATTGAGGTCAAAAGGGTCCAAAATTAAACTTTGTTTGATTTCATCAAAAATTGAATTATTGGGGTTCCTTGATATGCCAAATCTAACCGTGTTTTTAGATTTTTAATTTTGGGTCCCGTTTTTTAAACTGGTCTACATTAAGGTCCAAAGGGTCCAAAATTAAACTTAGTTTGATTTTAACAAAAATTGAATTCTTGGGGTACTTTGATATGCTGAATCTAAACATGTGTTTAGATTTTTGATTATGGGTCCAGTTTTCAAGTTGGTCCAAGTTGGGGTCCAAAATTAAAACTTTGTTTGATTTCAACAAAAATTGAATATATGGGGTTCTTTGATATGCTGAATCTAAACATGTATTTAGATTTTAGATTTTTGGTCCAGTTTTCAAGTTGGTCCAAATTGGGGTCCAAAATTAAACTTTGTTTGATTTCAACAAAAATTGAATATATGGGGTTCTTTGATATGCTGAATCTTACCATGTATTTAGATTTTTTATTTGTGGGCCCGCTATCAAATTGGTTCATATTGAGGTCAAAAGGGTCCAACATTAAACTTTGTTTGATTTCATCAAAAATTGAATTATTGGGGTTCTTTGATATGCCAAACCTAACCGTGTTTTTAAATTTTTAATTTTGGGTCCCGTTTTTTAAATTGGTCTACATTAAGGTCCAAAGGGTCCAAAATTAAACTTAGTTTGATTTTAACAAAAATTGAATTCTTGGGGTACTTTGATATGCTGAATCTAAACATGTGTTTAGATTTTTGATTATGGGACCAGTTTTCAAGTTGGTCCAAGTTAGGGTCCAAAATTAAACTTTTTTTTTTTGTTTGATTTCAACAAAAATTGAATGTATGGGGTTCTTTGATATGCTGAATCTAACCATGTATTTTGATTTTGGAAATTGGACCATGATAGGTAAATTAAAAAAATTAAAGTTCTTAGACCAGATACTTTCTGTGTCAGAAACCTATGCTGTGTCAAATATTTAATCACAATCCAAATTCAGAGCTGTACCAAGCTTGAATGTTGTGTCCATACTTGCCCCAACTGTTCAGGGTTCGACCTCTGCGGTCGTATCAAGCTGCGCCCAGCGAAGCATTTTATTTTGTCACAAATCAGGCCGCTGATTTTTTTGTTGCAAATCAAGCTGTTGGCTTTTTTTGTTTGAAATGTTTATCATTTTTCATCTCCAGGCCTTTTATTACTGATTGGTATATGGTATGTGTTTAGCTCATTGGTGAAGGCTGTACGGTGACCTTTGATTGCTTACATCAAGGTCATTTGGACTCTGGTAGATAGTTGTCTCATTGACAATCAAACCACATCTCCTTATTTTTTAGCTCACCTGGCCTAAAAGGCCGAGTGAGCTTTTCTCATCACTTGGCGTCCGTTGTCCGTTGTCATCGTCGTTAACTTCTTACATTTTGAACTTCTTCTAGAGAACCACTGAATGGAATGAAACCAAACATTGCATGAATATTCCTTATGAGGTGCTGACCAAGTGTTGTTACTTTGTAGCTGATCCATCATCCAAGATGGTGGCCAGGAGGGAACTTCTTTTAACATAGGACCCTATGGACAATACATACAAATGTCTTCTTTTAGAGGACCACTAAATGGAATGAAATAAAGCATGGCACGAATGTTCCTTATGTGGTGCTGACCAAGTGTTGTAACTTTGTAGGCGATCAATCATCCGAGACGATCGCCAACAGGGACTTAGTTTAACATAGGACCCTATGGGGAAATATATACAAATGCTTTCTTTTAGAGAACCACTGAATGAAATGAAACTAAACATGGCTTGAATGTTTCTTATGAGGTGCTGACCAAGTGTTGTTACTTTGTAGCCAATCAATCATCCAAGATGGCTGCAAGCGGGGAACTTAGTTTAACAAAGGACCCTATGTGAAAAACATACAAAAGTCTTCTTTTGAAGAACCACTGAATGGAATGAAACCAAACATGGCATGAATGTTCCTTATGAGGTGCTGACCAAGTGTTGTTACTTTGTAGCAAATCCATCAACCAAGATGGCTGCCAACGGGGGACTTAGTTTAACAAAGGACATTATGGGAAATATATACAAATGTTTTCTTCTAGAAAACCGCTCAATAGATTGAAACCAAACATGGTATGAATGTTTCTTTTGAGGTGCTGACCAAGTGTTGTTACTTTGTAGCTGATTTGTCATCCAAGATGGCTGCCAGCAGGGAAACTTAGTTTAACATAGGACCCTATGGGAAATACATACAAATGTTTTCTTCTAGAGAACCACTGAATAGAATGAAACCAAACATGGCATGAATGTTCCTAATGAGGTGCTGACCAAGTGTTATTACTTTGTAGCCGAACCATCATCCAAGATATCTGCCAGCAGGGGACTTAGTTTAACATAAGATCCTATGGGAACTACATACAAATGCTTTTTCTGGAGGATCACTGAATGGAATGAAACCAAACATGGCATGAATGTTCTTTATGAGGTGCTGATGAAGTGTTGCTACTTTGTGGCTGATTCACTGTTCAATATGGCCACCAGGATTTTTGATTAAATTACAGGGCCAATATTAAACCAAATTTGGCCTCATTCATTATTAGGGTATCTGTTATGATTTCAGTCTATTTTTACATGATTTCCAAATTCCAAAACCAAAGTAGAATCAGGTGAGCCACACAGGCTCTTGAGAGCCTCTAGTTATACATAAAAATTGTGTCCCATATTATCTATGGATGTTAATTTTAAGAATTATGCTGGCTGACATTAGCAGCAAAACAAGGGGCTGTTTTTATTGTTTAGAGAATTTGGTGGTGATTGCAGATTTTTTATAAATCTGTTTAACTACCTTCACAACTTTTGTAGACATACAACCATTTTGAGCTTGAGATATTTTCTTGAAATCTATCTATAGTTTTAAATGCCCTTGTGGTTATATGTGTTGTAGGTGTAAGGACACCTGTATATTGTCTATTGATTCTTTTAATTATTTTTGTCATTGGTTTGCTGTCTCATTGATGTATACCCCCATATCTCATCTCATTCAGTTTTTCTTTGCAACAGTCTATTATAGTGACAATTTATGAATGAAATGCTTTTCTCTTATGATTTTACAACAAAAAATTCCAAATTATTTATATTCATACTACTGAATAGTTCATGTCATTTGATATAGATATTGATATTGTTTAGCTTTTAATAAAGCATGAATAAATCAAATGAAGATCAAACATACATGCTAATGTTATGCTGAAAATATTGTAAGTAATTCCAACCTGATGTTTTATTCTTGTTTTGCATATCTTTTTAGGCTTCAGGTGAAGGCTTGTAGCAGGAACAAACTACCAACTGAACTGCAGCTGAAATGTTAAAATGGAGTAAAAATAATGAAATTTGCTATTAATAGACAAAATGCATAATTTCAAATTATCCCATTTGAAAATAAACTTCTTTATACAGATGACAATTGTTCCAAGAGCAGATAGATGTTGATCTGATGATAAAGCTATTTTGTGTATTTTTCGTTTGATCTTTTTTTGTGATAATTTTTCATATCATGCTACTCGCTTGAGATAGAAAATTATCATCAGAAACTAAGGGCGCACGTGACGTTGTGAATGTAAAAATTAACGACGTCATAGGCAAAATAGCGATAAAAAGATTAACAATGGTCTTTCAAACTCGAGGATGTTTCTCGGCCACATCTCATCTCCGGGATGTCGCCGTTCGATGAGGTTGTAGCAGAGAAACACCCTCTCGTTTTAAAAACCATCGATAATCTATAGATATGGTTTGTTTAAAACAAGTATTGAGTTAATGGTTTGTAGGATAATGTTCTTTTTTATAGAGAAGGTAGAAATATGTTGAACTTAGCATTGACCTCAAATACAACTATTTTATAGAGTAAGTTATTTTGAAGTGCATCAAATGCATGTTTACCAGTAAATCATATTCATTGGTATATTTAATTATACAAGTAATTGTTTTGAAGTCTTTGCTTGTTTTTTTATTTTAACGTTTGATGTTATTTATTTATTGTAAAGTTACAAATCATTAATATGTTGTTATTTGGTTTCACAGTCAAGATTAGTTTTTTATACGACCCCAAAAAAATTTTGTGGTCGTATATTGGTATGACGTTGGCGTCGTCGTCGTCGTCGTCCGAATACACATTGGTTTTCGCACTCTAACTTTAGTTTAAGTAAATGGATCTTTTTGAAATTTGACCATAAGGTTAAATACCACAAAAGGAAGGTTGGGATTGATTTTGGGGGTTATGGTACCAACAGTTAAGGAATTAGGGGCCAAAAAGGGGCCAAAAATAAGCATTTTCTAGTTTCCAGACAATAATTGTGGAACGGTGTATGGATTGCTCTGAAATTATACTACAAGTTTCCATACCACAAAGGGATGGTTAGGATTTGCTTTGGGGGGTTATGGCTCAAACCGTTTAGGAATTAGGGGCAAAAAAGGGGGAAAAACAAGGTTGTCCTGGTTAATGGACAAATACTTTAGTACAAAACATAATTTAAAGCAGTGTAAGGGAGATAAATCAAATACATCATTGAAATTATCTCCCTTACACTGCTTTTAAATTATGTATAAAGTAATGGTTAATGAACAATAAAGATAATTTAAAACAGTGTAAGGGAGGTAATCAAAATACAACGTTTTGGTTACTTCCCTTACACTGCTTTTAAATTATGTTTAAAGAAATGCATATTTATAAAGGAAGACCAGTAAAAATATCTGCAAATGTTGCATCTTTTTTTTTACAAAAAAATCCATATGAAAGATTTGACACTATATTTTTAATTCTATTATAAAATAGATTAAGCTAGCACTATGGTAAATTTAAATGGGTAATTATGGTTGCCAACTCCATTGGAAATTTGAATTGAGATTATGACCATATCTTGAGGGAAAGAATTTTTTGGGGGAAAAAAGGGGGGGGGATAAAAAGAAATTGTGGGGGGTCAATTTTTTCTCATTTCAGATTTCAGAAATTAAAAAAATTATTCTTCAAATATTTTTTTTTTTTCAAATTTCAAATATTGAAAAATTTCAAGAAGAAATCTTTAATTGCACAGTATGGCGCATTAAATTTGTAAAATCTTTGATCACATTTATTTATTTGTTATGCCGAATCCAACAGTGTATTTAGATTTTTAATTTTGGGTCCAGTTTTCAAATTGGTCTACATTAAGGTCCAAAGGGTCCAAAATTAAACTTTGTTTGATTTTAGCAAAAATTGAATATATGAGGTTCTTTGATATGCTGAATCTAAACATGTATTTAGATTTTTGATTTTTGGCCCAGTTTTCAAGTTGGTCCAAATTGGGGTCCAAAATTGAACTTTAATTGATTTCAACAAAAATTGAATATATGGGGTTCCTTGATATGCTGAATCTAACCATTTATTTAGATTTTTTATTTGTGGACCCCGTTATCAAATTGGTTCATATTGAGGTCAAAAGGGTCCAAAATTAAACTTTGTTTGATTTCATCTAAAATTGAATTATTGGGGTTCTTTGATATTCCAAATCTAACTGTGTATTTAGATTTTTAATTTTGGGTCCTGTTTTTGAAATTGGTCTACATTAAGGTCCAAAGGGTCCAAAATTAAACTTAGTTTGATTTTAACAAAAATTGAATTCTTGGGGTTCTTTGATATGCTGAATCTAAACATGTGTTTAGATTTTTGATTATGGGCCCAGTTTTCAAGTTGGTCCAAGATAGGGTCCAGTATTTTAACTTTTTTTGATTTCAACAAAAATTGAATATATGGGGTTCTTTGATATGCTGAATCTAAACATGTATTTAGATTTTTGATTATGGGCCCAGTTTTCAAGTTGGTCCAAATTGGGGTCCAAAATTAAACTTTGTTTGATTTCAACAAAAATTGAATATATGAGGTTCTTTGATATGCTGAATCTAACCATGTATTTAGATTTTTTATTTGTACGCCCCGCTATCAAATTGGTTCATATTGAGGTCAAAAGGGTCCAAAATTAAACTTTGTTTGATTTTATCAAAAATTGAATTATTGGGGTTCTTTGATATGCCATATCTAACCGTGTTTTTAGATTTTTAATTTGGGTCCCGTTTTTTAAATTGGTCTTCATTGAGGTCCAAAGGGTCCAAAATTAAACTTAGTTTGATTTTAACAAAAATTGAATTCTTGGGGTTCTTTGATATGCTGAATCTAAACATGTGTCTAGATTTTTTATTATGGGCCCAGTTTTCAAGTTGGTCCAAGTTGGGGTCTAAAATTAAACTTTTTTTGATTTCAACAAAAATTGAATATATGGGGTTCTTTGATATGCTGAATCTAACCATGAATTTAGATTTTTTATTTGTGGGCCCCGCTATCAAGTTGGTTCATATTGAGGTCAAAAGGGTCCAAAATTAAACTTTGTTTGATTTCATCAAAAATCGAATTATTGGGGTTCTTTGATATTCCAAATCTAACCGTGTATTTAGATTTTTAATTTTAAGTCCCATTTTTTAAACTGGTCTACATTAAGGTCCAAAGGGTCCAAAATTAAACTTAGTTTGATTTTAGCAAAAATTGAATTCTTAGGGTTATTTGATATGCTGAATCTAAACATGTGTTTAGATTTTTTATTATGGGCCCAGTTTTCAAGTTTGTCCAAGTTGGGGTCCAAAATTAAACTTTGTTTGATTTTAACAAAAATTGAATATATGGGGTTCTTTGATATGCTGAATCTAACCATGTATTTTGATTTTGGACATTGGACCATGATAGGTAAATTAAAAAAATTCAAGTTCTTAGACCACATTCTTTCTGTGTCAGAAACCTATGCTGTGTCAAATATTTAATCACAATCCAAATTCAGAGCTGTATCAAGCTTGAATGTTGTGTCCATACTTGCCCCAACTGTTCAGGGTTCGACCTCTGCGGTCGTATCAAGCTGCGCCCCAGCGAAGCATTTTATTTTACTAGTATATATATGCAATACTACATGTAATCAAGGATTTGTATAGTAATACTTGATAAATCCTTGATGTAATGTAAAAAAATAATTTTAAACAGTAAATTAGTGATAGTGATAAAATACTTTACTCTTTTAAGTCTTTCAAATAATTTCAATGTCTTTCATTTTGATATATTATGTGATATAATTTTATAAGGTTTTTAAATTTTTGTTATATTTTTGTCTTTCATGTAGTGCATTGCTTGCAGAACAGATAGATTAATGTTTTATCAAACTTTTTTAAGCCTCTGTCAATATTGTATGATGTTGTATAAAAATGTGTGAATTTCAAAAATAATCATATTGTTACAATGCCAAAAAGGATAAAGCAAATCCAACACAGTTTCCAAAGAAAATGAGGGGGGTTTTAACGACCTTGACTACCCATGAGGGTCTTGCATGGTCGGTGTGTTTCAAAAGACTGATTGTCATAACTTATATAGTCTTACAGACATGTAAAAGTTTGATGAGTTAGGGGGGCTATCATTTGAAATGAGTAATCATAGAAGCAGTACATGAACATTAAAAAATAAGGGTATTAAAGTTTTGGAATTTCTGGGTTTTAGTGTTTTGAAAGCTGGAAGTATTTAAAGTATACTGTTTTATATGTCTATCAATCTGTCTTTTCTCCTGTTACCTCTTGGGGTATCTTGAGTATGCATCAACACAACTTTCATTATTTTGACAAATGCTAGGTTTTATAAAGAGAAGCACACTTATGGTTTTGAAAATTTTCCAATATGTATCTTTACTTTTCAAAAATGTGCAAGTTTCATATATCTAGAGTTTCTTTGGCTATATTAACAACAATGATTATTTAGGAAATTATTACACATTTTGAATACTAAAAATTAGGTTTTTATGCAGACAAACTACATTTTAATGACTTATATATACTCAGTAAAAATTCCTAAATTCCTGAAGCAGCTCGATATTAAAAGGTTGTACTTTTACAAATGAAAATATTCCTAAAACAGTTAATTCTCAGCTTTATATATGCCTTAATGCAAGATTTTCAAAAAAATTGCTGATAAGTGTTAACTCTGAATTTGAAAACTTTCTGACAGTGTGATTAGTCAAGTTGTTGAATTTCATCAGTTAAATTGTACAGTATGTTTTATACTATTGGTAGTGCCAATTTGTAAGGTCTCACCAAGGTTATTGTGAAGGTTTTCTTGTATATTGTTTATATGTGTAAACCGAAATCCTGTCACAAAAAAATGTTTCTGGGAAGAATGGTAACATTTATACAAAATTTTAACATGAGATTTGTAACTCAGCTTTTTGTGGGTTTTTTTAATGTTTATAGAATACCTCAATACTTAAATGTACATTTATCTGTTAATATATTTTATGATTGCTGTGTTAAATTTTTCATATTTTTTCTTCTTCTGGAATCTAGAAATTACCATGTCCTTGTTATGTAATATTCAGATTATTAAGCCAGAATTAATAGGGCATTTTTAGAATATTAAAACAGTACATTAAATAAGGTTGTGACAAACAATGTAAACATTTAGGGTTGGTTATGTAATATCATCAGATTTGTAATATGAACAGCATTTACAGTTTTCGTCAAAGGACCCAGTGCAACTAGGGCTTTATTTGGCCTAATTCATTACTAGAATTTGACCTGTTTTTTAGATTGTCATTTATGATTGCTCTAAAGTTGATGTATTTAATCAGTGAAATCTCAATAAATGCAGTTGTGACGTCATCAAAGTGCCCTTCACTGGTTTCCATGAAAAATATATACTTTGTCTATAAAAATTCAGGTAATTATTTTTTTCTTGGATGTGATCAATATTTCCATATGTGTGATTAGGCAGTTGAATATACATTTAAGAAAAGTTAAACTGTAAACTGTCAAACATATCTAATATATTTTCTAGAGAGCCACACTGATGTTTTTGAACTGACACACTTTATTAAAATTTTGTAGACCGACCTTAATTGTTGAAATATTTAAAGTTGGACTTTGCAGCACTTTCATAGAGCAAGTTTTTAAAATTTGAAAAAAATGCATTTATGATATAATTTGTTTTCCATATCCCTTATATTCATCGTAAATAGTACTTTGTTATTTTTTTCATTAA